CTGAATGAGTATAAAGATGAAACCTCCAGACATCTCAGTGTGTCCAAACACACTGGGAGAAGACTAATAAACTTAATTAGCTTTGTTTTATTTACTTTTTAACAAAGGGAGGAAATGTGAGGAAATGTAAAAATCTTCTGGTCTGGCGTCAACTGTCATCATATAAGACTATTTCTCCAATACCGATCCACCACACATACCGATACTGCACATCTCAAAGAGGCAAATATTTGCAAAATCAAATATTAAGTCAATCAAATAAATTGATACAGTAACACTCTTCTTTCCCACCTTTGTTGGTGCAATGGGACATAGTACACATAGAAATTGTGACATATCAGACAGACAATAACACAAAACTGTAAAACATAACAGAGGTTATGATTTAAATTTTAGCTAATGGGAGAACTACATTTGTTAAAACCTTTCAAATAAGTTAGAAAAACACTAATAACTAATTTTGTTACCCATCAATTTGAAGAAAATACATTTGAAGGTATGACCTTGGCCTTACACTACCTGCAATGGGAATTTCTCACAAATTTTTGACATTTCATAAACAAAAAGCTATTGATTAATCAAGAAAAGAATTGGTAGATTAATCAATAATCCTCATCTGTAGCCCTACACAAGCCCTACACAAGTCATCTGTAGCCCTACACCAATCATGTTGGTTTATGCATGGCCTCAATTCTGATTGAAATTAAAAAACATAACACAATCTTTGTTTTACCACAACAAAGTGTTCCAAAGCAATAACAGAATATCACACCATCAGGAGGATAACGCCCCACTGAACGTCAATAAATGCACCCAGCCCTTGAAAAGTATGTTATACCAGTTGATTACATGACATCAATTTCACAGAGGTTCTCTCCTGAAGATAATCTTCCAGCCAGGCTTTTCTAATGGGTGAAAAGATTAGACAGAACCCCAGACAGTCACCTGCGTATCTGTGTTACAGACTTGGACACCTCAGTGCATCTAAGCCACTGGGAGAAGACTCACATGGACCTAATTAGCTACAGCACAGGGAAGAAAAATGTGAGGGAGCATAAAAAGCCTCTGGTCTGTCAGCTTTCAACACATTCCCGACCAATGGTGCAGGCTAAACAAAGAGTCAGACGTATGTCACTGCAAATCATCTATGAGGGAGTTGGCTTTTGTCGCCGCCCCTTTATACCTGGTCAGAAAGTCCTTGCTGTGCCCTTGCACAGACAAAACAAAGATCAGACCGTCCCCAGTGACGCCAGTGACTTCTTAATCTCAGTACCCTCTAGTTAGTATCGGTGTCAAAGAGAAAACAATGTGTGCGCAAGTTGTACTTAAACAGGAGAAATACGTATGCTAGTTTGTTAGGTACACCTAACTAAATATGATGCAGTATAATGCAATAAACTCCCCCTTCATGAAGGTTATAATGTTCAGTTCTTGTTTAAACTCTTGGATGTGCGTTCATTCATCATTTTGGAGGCTGTCATTTCTGGTGCTGTTGTACTGCATTAAACTGGGAGGTGTTTCGGCTCTATTTAGATTTCCCTCATTTATAGAAAGTGGGTTGTCAAAATATACTTTCTTGACTATAGGATTTGTTGTAAAACGAATCTATTAGACTGGTGTAGCTAATAAACTTAAAATCACTTCAGTATTCATCAATGTATTACGATCCTTGGAGAGATCAGGAACGCTAGAAATTCAGACTAGAGCTGAAACAAATTAAGATTAATCGATTAGTTGAGCTACAGAAAGTCAACTTTGATAATCACTTCATAATCGTTTAAGTAAATGAATCAAGCCAAAATACATATTATTTACTTCTTCCAGCTTCTCATATGTAAAATTAGCAGCTTTTCTCTTTGTTTTATATTTATATTCAATTTTAAATTAAACAGCTTTGAGTTTTGGTTGGACAAAGTAAGACATTTGAACTTGTAATAATGATTTTTCAATATTTTTTTTGACATTTCAGTGACTAAACTATTGATTTAAAAAATAATGAACAGATGCCTCGATAAAAATAATCGTTAGTTGCAGCCCAATGTATAGTAATTTATAGTAACAGCACATTATTACGACCAAAGACCAGAATTAGGTGTCAAGATCACAGAATCATTTTCCATATCATACTGCATGTGGCTGATTGAGTTTGAGAAAGTTTTGATTTTCATCCAGTCAGTCTCCATGTTATTATGAGCTGTATGTTTTTTGTACAAGTTAATAAAATGACAGTAATGAGACAGTTGGTTAAAGAGTGGCTGAAATCTTGTGTGACTTTGGATCTTTTTTTACGACAATACCTTTGAACTCCCCACAAATCCAGAACTTAACACCACGATGAACCTGCTGGCTATAGGTCAAACAGGACTGCCCACATTCCCTGACACAAACTCACCTCTTCTCCACAGACTGAGCTGCTGAGCCAGTGTTTATCCCGGCAGCAGATTAGGGTCTCCTGGAGCAACACTGTCACATTAAAACAACGACCTCCATTCAGCTCAGACAACAAACACAGACTCGAGTTGCTATTTATTCCCTCCAGGATGCAGTCAAGACAAGTTAGCGCATCTACATCACTCCAACCACCTCGTATCACAGCTGCACGGAGCCCCACATCTGTCACCCACTACCACAAACAAAGAATCAGCCTGTCCTATGTGGAAGCTGGGTGATCGGCTGTGCATTACCTGCAGGGTGGTTGTACAGAGGTCTCAGTTTGGCGGGCAACATGTGCTCGATCTTGTCCAAGATCCTGTGGTAGGACGCTCTCAGCGCTGCCATGACTGTAGATGTTCAGACTGAAATGAAGAAACTTAGAGCTAGCTCGCTAAATGGCTAGCTAGCTAGGTGTCTTTCTTTAAAAGCCACAGAATCTAAAAACCGCTTCACCTCCTTGAACGGTGTCGACAAATAAATAAATAAACGGCAGGTGGGTGAATAGGTAGAGGTAGATGCTGCTGTCCTACTGTCGACCTTCCCCCTACAACTCTATGGCCATGCTAGCTCTGCTAGCTGTCAGTAGCTTCCCTCTGACCGACACGACGAGGTGACTTTCTGTGCGATGCAACCTATCACATGAAGGGCGGAGTCACAATTTCCTCTATTGTCATTGGTCCGCCTGGTCAGAACCCCGATATGATTGGTTGATATATTATTGTTACTTTTATTGCCCGGCGTATCCCAACTGGGTGGGTACAAATCATCGCTTATCAACAAATTTTAGAGAGAAAAATTTATTCAGACCCTCCTTTAACACCAGTCCTCCCTTCTCATAATAATTGCCACCTTTGTTTGGTTAAGTCTCGTGGTGGTTATGGTCTGGCCCCAGGGTGTGAACACAAGAAACATAATGCAAATCCAGAGTTTTGTCTTGTTATTATTGTATTTTTTGTTGTTGTTGAGACGTTAACATCTGTAGCTATATTTGTCCATTGCTATGCTGGTCTCTAATAAAAAAAAAAATTTAAAAACGTATTCAGATTTTAGGTGTTATTTATGTTACCAGTTTGGATGTAACAATCATGCAACAAAAAAATAAATAATGAAAAAAAAAATTTTGTTATGGTTTTAAAGGCACCATTTTTTTCCTACCGAGTTTCCATAATTATTTAATACCCTCTCAAAAAGAAGATATACACAATAAAATGCCAATACTGCATTTTTAAAAGATCTAGAATGTAATCAACTTTTATGTTTTTATTATCATATTATTATCACATTGTCTTTTTCCATTATTATATTTTCACTTATATGATTTCATTGTACCCTCCATTTTATTGTTTAACACCTTGTCATTAAAAGTTTTGATCAATAAGTTTTGAATTTTCATACTACTTTAATATAATAACTTTTCTTTGTACTAAACAAAACCACAAGAAAGAAAAGAAACGTGATTCATACCATGTGAAACTGATTAAATATCTATGACAGACTATTTTCTACCAGTATAGTACAGTTATCCACGACTGGATTACTAAATGTACAAAGGGATCAAGGGGCTCAAAAGCATCAGATTGCAAACAGCACTGTGTTTTTGGAATTGCAAATTTGTCATAATTACTCAATTTTTCACCTCTGAAGTAAAATATCAACAAATGCAGGTCCTGCATTAATACATGATCTTGTTGCCCTATTATGTATAACGTCCCTGTGACAAAATTTAGTTTTCATAACAGGAACCCGGCTGCTACTTTTTGCCTGGGGGTACCCAGCCCTGTCTTTGAAGACTCGGGAAAAGTCTTTAAAACAGCAGTAAGTGCTGCCTGCCCAACTGGTTTATGATACTTACGATCAAGTGGAAACCCAACATAACTGTGCTCGAAGCTATGTTCCAAGCCATCAACAAAACAAAGAGCTTTCTTTGCACCTTCTTGCAAAAATCAGAGCCATCCTATAAAAATACAGTATTGTCTGCCAGTAAATTAGATTTATTTATGTTTAAAGAGATGTCAGATTCCACAGCAAGGGACCTGATAGTTGCAGGTTTACTGCGTCAGTTTGTATATGACAGAAAATTATTTTATAAATGTACACCGCTATTAGTTGACATGACAAAGACCTTGATGAACTGGATCCTGCTTTATTATCTGAACTCAGAAGATGGACACTGAGTTGAAATCTAGTTTTGATTTAAGAGCTTCATAATTTAAGATTTGTGCATTGCATAAGTATTGCATATTCTGAAATTAATGCGTTTAATCAGATAATTTTAGCCCCAGCATTGTAGCAGTCTGGCCATGAATCTTTTGTTTAATCATCTAAAAAAAGCCTTAAATTCACTAACGGTGATTAAATGAGAGGTTAAAAAAATACTGGTCTTTCTACTTCTAATTATGGCAATAAAATCTCAGCAAAGGTTGGCTCTATGACTTTCAAACTTCCCTGGACACACTCCGCCCCGACAGCTATTTGGCGTCTTAAAACGAGCGTCTCTCTGTTTATCGCGTTGTTTGGGCACAGCTGACCGCTGTCTGCGAGGAGAAATACACCAGGCTAGGCTAGCAGGACGGACAGTTAGCAGCCTGGAGAGCAGGGGTACAGTCGGAGTAAACTCAGCCGGACCGCAGAGACAGGACCGGAGCGAGTCTTCCTGCCGGCAATGCAAACGCTGAGTGTCGCAGCTAGCTAACGTTAGAGCTGTCCCGACAGACGGGGACTGATCCCGATGGTAAAAGCTGAGCGACGATAGAGAAAAGGCGACATCAACAGGAAAGGGTTAGCTTAGTTTCAATGTTATTGTTAATTAAAAGCCACATATGGTCACAATGTCCTGCACTGGCAACCTGGTTTGGGATGTAAATAAACGCTTAATTGGATACAACGAGCCTAACACCATCAGGACCAACTATCTCGGTAAGAACAAAACAAGCCTCATTAATGCTAACAGGAACGCAGAACACATCACAAGAAGATGTATCAGTTTATTTTATCATCGTCTTCAGCAGATACCTGATGAACTGACAGCTAAACTCAACATGGCTGTGCCCCAAGCTTTCTTATTAATGACACAGAGCTCCTGCTCCTTCTGCAAAGTCAGACCCGTCCACTGTGACCGCATGCAAATTTAATTTACTTATGTAAAATAAGAGATGTGAGAGTCCAGAGCTAAAGCACCAGATAGATGGGATTAAGTGTTATGTATAACCCTTCATAGTGCAGCTCTCTATGAGGTTACAGCTAGAGCAAAATCATATTTATATCCTCTCTGAGAGATTAAATTGATTTGCACACGAATTTCAGCATAGATGCAATTTCTGGGTTTTGTACATATAGATAATGTACAGTAACGCAACCATCTGCAGGCTGCATCACCATATGCTTATGTAACTGAACTCTAAAGTATAGCCCTTAAATGGATTAAAAAATTTGCGGTAAAAACAGGATCAATCATGTAATGCATTTATGAAGGCCGATTGCCTTATAAAGTGCTCTCAGTTTACAGGAATTTGTAGGCTGTAGAAATGAAACCACGTGCAAAGTCTCACAAAATTGCTCACTGTAACATATACACTCGTGCCATGTAAGTATAAAACGGCCATAATCTGAACTAACTATATACATGTAGTTGGTGCAAATTCTAAATTGTGGTTATTAAAAAACAGCAGTAATTCAAATCTACACTCACATAGTTCATATCTCTATAAGCAGTGATGCTCAGTAAATTGAGAGAACTTACATCAGCAGTGCAGTGTATTGAACCAGTCGCACAGGATCATGATACATCGACATTGATTATTTGTCCTATCAGGTGTAACCAAGATCATTTGTCAATATACTGTGTTCCTTGAGTGATTCATAGCCTATGTTTTGATAGTAGGAAGGTAGCTGTGCCATGTTGTTTAAGTCTTGTATCCAAACTGCAAATAATCTCCATCACAATAAAGAGCAGCGCATCATATAATAAAAATAAACAACAATATTTTAAATTCTGCTAATGTAAACAGACACAAGAACAGTAGAATCAAGCTGATATTACCCAACATATCAGGCCAATATCTCAAAACACTATTAATAACTTATTTTCAAAATTGAGTGAAATAATGTGGCCGCTAGACTAATAGGTCTTTGTTATGGCAACGACTTTTTAAACACATTTGCAAAAACTTAAGGATTATACCAGCTGTGCTTCATTTCAATGTATTAGGAAAAAAAGAAAAACAATAGTGTACTGTGTTGAAATTGCCACAAAAGTCGGTAACATTAATTGTTAGTCCCATAGCTTGTCAGCATACTGAGTTCATTGAAAGCTTCAAGTCTCTGTTTGTGCAAAGGTATTAAATGTGGTTAAAAAATATTCATACTGTTTTTTATTTATTTTTTATTCATGTTCCATATCCTGCTTGTGATTTGGTCAGGCCGCCCAGGCCAACGCTGTAACACTGTCTGAGTTCTGTCTGAGAGAACAGCGTGTAAGAGCAGCAGTGACCGCAGAGTAAACAGAGGACAGTACCGCTGGCACAGGCAGAGAGGTTTATAAGACTTCTCTGCCTGTGTGTCCTGTCAAAAAGTCAGCACCTGACAGTGGTTGAATGGAGATTTACAAGCCTGTAGAGGTGGGGCAGGGGCCACTGAGGTGCAGTCAGTGCTGTATTTAGCATGACTGAGATATGGTTCGAGCTGTTATTGTGTATGGGTAGAGGATACATGCAGTGGTGTGTGGGTCAGAGCTCTTGCAGGATATATTTAGCTTGAAGAAGGGGGTTGCGGCAACAAATAGTGGTCCACATTAAATTCCAACAGAGAAACTTCCGGGGAGGTTAAATTACTCCATGTTGTTGTGCATTTACATTCTCTCATCTGGTAGATGCTCTTCAGGAAGATTAAGGAGTTATTATTGACACCGGATGCTGTTTTACACGGTCATGAGAGACTCACAAACTCTCATGAGCACAAAGAAGCAAAGCAAAAGGAAGAGGGTTAAGATTTTTTGGCATGTCTTAGTCCATTTTCTTCTTTAACTTACTGTAGCCTTCTTATTTCCACGTATAACTGGCCAAATATAGGCTATGTATGGTCACACTGAGACACAATTCATCATTGAATCTATGAGTCAGAATTAACCTCTAACTATTCTGATATCAAGCATCTTTGATAAGAATCAAACATTCTCTGGTTTGAGCTTCTGCGATGCAAGGATTTACTGCTTTAGTTTGTTTTACATCATTGTAAATTGATTATTGCTTCTGGCTCTTAACTGACTAAACAATCAATCAGTTTATCCAGATAAAAAAGCTGACTACAGTATTCACATTCCCATCTTTAACCAACATGTTGACAGTCCCTTGGTTTTGTGCCAGTAAGTAATTTGTTCTACTTGACTTTTTAAATGATAAATGTCAAGCATGTAATACATAATAATGGAATAAATGAGAAATGTGGGGAAATCAGAAGGAGAACAATTTGTGGGAGCAGTCTGATTTTGACTGTAGAAGTTTTGTTTTTTTTCATTATTAGGTCACTACTTTAATATGTGGCATTAATGATAGTCCCTGTGATTGGGAGCTTCAGGAGACGCCATGACTGTCAGTTCACATAAACCACTCTGAAATCAGGCTTTGCCTTTGACTCTTCCAGTGGAAGAGAAAAATCCCTGCAGCGCTAATAAAACTGGCAGTGCAAGTTGGATACACAGCACCTAGTAGAGGAAGAGACCTGTCCTCCCAGTTGACAGAGTTAGGGCAACTCTCGCTGCAGACGTTTGATTAATCGTTTTTCAAAAACAGGAAAAACTACATTATCGCGTTGGATGAAAGAAGGTGGCTGCTTCATCCTCCTGTAAAAGAGTAATATATCTTTCTCATGATGAACATTTATTACTCCTTTCTCACCGAGGACGCCCTTTCCAACTGTACTCATTTTGCATTGTGGCTGCATAGTATCAATGCTGCATATTGACTTTAACACTGTGACCACGCTACAACACAAAACCTGCTTACAATTAGTAAGCGGCGTGGATTTGGGACAGTGATACAATTTTTTTTTGTTTTATCACATTTTAATTTTACTGAACATTAAAAAATTGTAGTTATTCATTTTCCCCTTTGTTTTGTTCTTCTTCCCTCCTCCAGTCTCAATAGATCAATAGAAAAACAATCAGCAACTATTTTCATAGCTGAGTAACTGTTAAAGTAATTTTTTTCTGCCAAATTGGCAAAAATAAAAAAAAGTTGTTTTCAACCTTTCAAATATAAAGTAAATTATATTAAAGTGAATATTTTGGGGTTTGGGCGAAGGCACTTGAAGATGTCACTTTGGACACTTTTAGAGAAACTGGGAGGGACATTTTATAGACTGAAAGATTAATTCATAAATCCAGAAAATAATCATCGGAAAATAATCATCGGATTAGTCAATAATGAAAATAATTGTTAGTTGCAGCCCTTGTAGTCTAGACTGAAAATGACACCATAGTTTCAGGCTGACTCTAGAGCCAGTCCATCAGTCACGGAGAGTGCGTTTACATTTTGGAGTTTTGGAGCATCATCCTGGTTATGTGTATCCTGGTGTCAGAAACCTGAATAAGGCCTTATCCTGGACACTGGAGCACTCTGATAGAAACCAGGATACAATGACATGTAAACACCTGATCACTCTCTGTTGGTACAGGACACAGTGGCTGAGATGGTTGAGAAACCCAGACACAACTGTACACAGATGATCAGAAACCCGTTAGAATCACATGAAGAAGTTTCTCATGCTCCACATGAACACCAGGTCCTGAATGTGATCAAAACCAGGATGAGACTTGATACCGGGATACTCTCGCACTCATCATTAGATCCTTTACTTTGAGCAGGTCACAGCTCAGGTGTAAATGGAGGTTTCTTACAGGTCTTCATTATTACTTAAGATGAGGAATAACTCTTTAAAAGAAACTTATTCTCATCACTTAAATAAGTGATACCATCGTCCTGAAGCTGCTGCGTTCACAGTCAAAGAGAAATCGATTCACAGATTATTCTACACAAATGAGTTAGTGTGGCTAACTTAGTTTAAGGATCTTACCTTAGTGTGTATGTTTTATTGTCTCTTAACTCTTTTATTAGCTGTTCCTCAGAGAAAATATTCCTCTCTCTAGTCTCATTTTACAGCAGCATGATTTTTAGCATGATTCTGACAGTCTTTTACAATTTGCATTTTTCTCTTTTCACAGGTAGAAGAGAGTTTGTGCAGCGGCTTAAACTTGAAGCGACACTGAATGTACATGATGGCTGTGTAAGTGCCCCACATCTCTGTGTGTGTGTGTGTGTGTGTGTGTGTGTGTGTGTGTGTGTGTGTGTGTGTGTGTGTGTGTGTGTGTGTGGTGGGTGTGTGTGTGTGTGTGTTGCTGTGTGTGTGTCACTTTTTCCTCCTCAGTGGCCTGAGTCTCTGACAGAGAGCAGATCTTTGACTTCAGGTCAGGTTGTTAATGCCTCTGAGAAACCTGAAGCTGACATAAACAGTCACACGTCCTGTCACAGTATCAGCCAGGCCGTCGCTGCGTCCAAAACACCACAACAACAACCACCGCATACATGTCCCAGGAGAGCAGCAGTTTAATACCTGCCAGGTCTAAATCAGAACTGCTACAGGGAAAAGGATTAGAGGAATGCTTTTATTGCATGTTATGAATATATTAACTGTTTAATTTGTGTAGAGAGAAGCTGGGATGTTCTGTATTAAAACTATGGGCTGTTAAAGGCAGGAAAGCGATTTAATTAGTGCTGGAACAATTAGTCAATTAGTTGATCAACAAAAAAACACCTTCAGTTATTATAATTATTGATTTTTTTCTTTTTTTTTTAATCCATTTATCAAGTAAAATTACCATTTATTTTTTTTATTATTTTCTGTTTAGAGCTTTGTGGCAAAAATTATGAGAGGAATACTTTGTGGGTTTTTTTAATGCAATTTGAAGATGTCCCTTCAGGCCATGGTAACATGTGGTTGTCATCTGTCACACATTATAGACAGTAAATAATTATTAGGTTAATCAATATTTTTGGCAAACAAAGGCATATTAGCCCATAGAGTGAATGATGTAGCAGCTGGTTCCCATAGAGGCCTTCACCAGGAAGTCATAAATTGTAGAGGCAACAACACTGGACTATTAACTAAAAAGGATATGTAGAGGATGGGTGCTAAGCGCCTGATGCACTGTATGGATTCATTCATGGTCTCTCACTGCTGAACATATGTAATTGGAGAGAAAAGAAAAAAGAAGGTAGATCTGAAACAATTAGTTAGACCATTACATTGATAATGGTTAATTGGTTAAACCGTATTTCAAGCAAAAATTGTAAAAGAAAGAAAAAAAAAAAAGTGGCTTCAGCTTCTCCAATGTGAGTAAATCCTGCTTCATTATATATATATATGTTATTTAAACTGAAAATTATTGGGTTTTGTTCGGCCTCTTTGTTTTCTGACTTTCTGATTTTTGAAGACATACTAAACAAGTAGAAAGACATGTCTCCAGATTCCTCCCACAGCAACGTAAGCACAAACAAATGAACCAAAATCTCATTATTTTTTAAAAGAGAGTGGGTGATATGTGAAGCTGTTGCCCATGTTTCTGGTGTTGCTGTCACCAAACTGCGGCTCGTCTCAGACCCTGATTGAGTCTCACCAAACACATCAAATATTGCAAAATCAGTGAAAACAGGGAAGGAGATGGATCTTGCAATTGATCTGAATCAGTTGCGAAAATTTAATTTGCAGTTGCTGGTCAGTGTGAGAGATTTACAGAAGTTTCTCAGTGAACACAGAGTAAAAATGTACATTTATGTTTGTGTCTCTACATTGAACCATATTAGACAAGATCACCAGACCTGTGTTTAAAGACCTCATCACCTCATCTCCTCCTCCATCTGAATCTGCTTGGCACCATCTGGCTATTAATCTTTCATCACATGAGAGACACCGAGGCAGATTCACCCACATTCACCCACATATTCTAATAACATTTCAGCCGACTTCAGACGCAGTTTCTCAGAAATCCATTCAAACCTGTTATAAAAAAATAAAATAAAATCTATAGTCAGACCGAGCCTTGAGTTCAGTCTGCGGGATGCGGTGAATGATCTGTCACTCTGGGGAATGATCTCGCCCGTTCAGAGTCATTTCAGTGATTCTGTGGCAACGAAGAGCAACGGAGTGATGATGAAACACTGCACGAGGCTGCACAAGCAGGTGCTGATGAAACACAGATCCACCGCGTGACAGCAAACACTGACAGAGTGATCCTCGCTCTTCTTGTGCTCCACTTTGGATTGATGGATTACAATAAAGTGAACTGTGTCACAGTTAATGAAAGTGCTTTGACTTGGACAGGAAAATATGAATTTTCTTATTGATGACACCTCTATTATAGCTTTTGATTAATCGTTTAGACCAGTGGTTCCCAGCTGTTTTTCTTGCTTGTGACCCTTCATGACAGACTACCTATGACCCTTTATGGGTTGTGAGTGGTTCAGTTGATTTGCTGGTCTCAGACTCTGTTTAAATGATTTTAGAGACCTGAAATGGTGAAACTACAGATTATATTTTATGGAGGAAACCTTTGCAGATTTTTTCCCCTGACAATATCTCTGAACCCCATAGATTCATCTTGCAGCAGCGCACGGGGGTCCCGACATCCAGGTTGTGGAAACCTCTGGTTTAGCGTCTATAGAATATCAAAAAATTGTGAAAAATTCCCAAAGCGATGTCGTCGAGCTGCTTGATCTGTATCAGTTCACAGTGAAATGAAGCTGCAATCTATGGATATTTTTGCTCCATAAATGACTTAAACAGTGAATTTATCATCAAAATAGTTGTCAACTAATTGATTAATCAACTAACTGTTTCAGTGTAAACTGCAAAGTAAATATGTCTGTCGTCTCTTAATCCAAGCTGTCGTCTCTCCACAGGTCAACACTATATCCTGGAACGACACAGGAGAATACATCCTATCGGGGTCAGACGACACCTTTTTGGTTATTACGAACCCGTACAACAAGAAGGTAACAACAGTTATACACAGTTCCACTTAAGATATCTGACTTTATTCGTGTAGGAACAACAAAAGGAGATAAAGGAATAGTTTTCTACGAGTAAACCGTAGAATAATCATTTTTGACATCTAAATTGGCACTAGTAGCTCAGTTATACTGAAACCATTGGAGACCTGTTTTTCTAAAAGGTTCATTTTTTTCTTTAATATAGGGAAAACTAAATTGTCAAATCCCAAACCTGACAGCAACAAGCTACCAACGAGCACTCTCAGTTACCCTAAAGGGACAAATGATATCTGAAGCCTGTGTTTGGCTCTGTTTTGTTTACCTCTGGGATGTAACACAACATGTAAGTTTCACGCAAAAAAACCCTCAGTTTTGTTTATTAGATGTAAATAAAATTCACCAAAATGATCAAGACATGAGGTAATTCTGTCTCTTCTTTTAACCACTGGAGTGATATATTTTTTCTGAATTTGTTTTAGGGGCACAAACATGTTGCGGCTAACTTCAGCGCAGGAGTGTTTAGGTCAGACATAGTTTAATATGCGTTTAGGTGTATATATACAGCCGTGTATTTTTGCTTCTCCTCTTCAGGTCAAGAAGTCCATACGTTCAGGTCATCGGGCAAATATCTTCAGTGCGAAGTTCATGCCCCACACTAACGATCAGCAGATCATCTCCTGCTCCGGAGACGGCATCATCTACTACACCCACACTGACAAGAGTCCCGAGTACAACAGACAGTGTCAGTTCACCTGCCATTATGGAACAGCTTATGAGGTACTGAACCACAGAAACGTTAGTCATCATATCACACGACCTGCACTGGAGAAATAAAATCTCTCCCACTCAGGTTTTTTCTGTCTTCTAATCTTGACCCTCTTTTTTTTTTTTCTGCTTTGTCAGATTATGACGGTACCAAACGACCCCTACACGTTTCTGTCGTGTGGGGAGGACGGCACGGTGCGGTGGTTCGATCTACGCACGAAGACGAGCTGCACTAAAGAAGACTGCAAAGACGTACGGTGACAGCTGTGATATTTGTTCTCCTTTCGGTCGGTGATTCAGCATGCGCTGACACTGAGGGTTGGGGTCTTAGTATCACTAATATCTGTTCACTTGTGAACTGGTGGATCTCTTTGTTTATGTTTTTTGTTTATTTATTTACTTTTTTTTTTTTTTTTACCAACTTGGACAAACTGGCACATTGCAGATGATAATAATCTGTTCTTCATAGGTGATTGGCCTGAATCTTTAGCAATAAGATGAATTCATTACCTGCTGTTAATTTCATTTTATTCATTTCATTTTTAATTGATCATTAGAATTAATATAGAAGATTTAATCGACCACCTCTCTGATAAGAGTTTGTCGTCAGCACTGCTCTCTTCACAAACAGCTTTGTGTCTCTGGAGTAATTCCGAAAACCGTTTCCTTGAGGTTTCCCTTCAGGCCAGGCTGCATCGGAGGGAGCTGAGCGCCTGGTGGATGGATGTGTGTGCGTGTGTGTGTTTGTTTGTGTGTCTGTGCGTAAGAGAGAGGCTGTGCCATCCCAGATTGTGTTGCATCTTCTCGTATTTCATGCTGGAGATCAGTACCTGTGACCTTAAAACTGTCACTACAGCCAAACTCTGTTACCTCCCTCTCTTAATTATCTTACAACATGTCAGTGTTTAAAGTGAAACGTTCACAGCAGGGAAAATAATTTTGAAATTTTCTGAATTGCTTAACCGGATCTAACTGTTGCAACTGCAGCATGACTATCCACAAAGAAAGTTGAATCAACTCCTCTTTAAACCATTCAAACTGAACATAACATGAAGCAGGATATATTGCAGGACTGCTGCATTAGACTGCTTTAGTTTTAGCGGGGTGTACCTAATTAACTGGCAGCTGAATGCATGTTTTCATTAGTGCATCTTCTTCTGGTACTGAGCAGAAATAACTTTATATGTTGCCTCTTTCAACTTCACCACATTGTGTTCGCTTTGATTTCAGGACATCCTGATAAACTGTCGGAGGGCAGCGACCTCTATATCCATTTCTCCCCTGGTGCCGTATTATCTGGCCGTGGGCTGCTCTGACAGCTCCGTGCGAATCTACGACAGACGCATGCTGGGCACCAGAGCAACAGGTAAACTGTCCCATACGCTGATCCCCCCCCCCGGCTTTCTCTTTGTTTATATTTATGTTCATTTAGTGGATTCATGAACAACAGGACAATCACGTAAAAAATTCCTAAGTGACTAAAGATGTTTGTGGAAAAGTGAAGTAATGAAGCAGAGCTGAGGGGTTTCTCTCTGGGTTTTTAGTCCCGTCCTGCAGAGCTGTCCCTCGACTCCTGTCTGTTGTTAGATGTGTCCATGAATATGATTTTATCTTCTTCCTCTGAAATGCTCCTGACAGATAGAATACATTATCAACTTTGTTTATGGAGCATCATTCAAACACAAAATGCAGCTTAAAAGTGTTTTTACATAAAGAGCAAGATTATGTAAAAAGAAAATTCACCAACAAGAAATTCAAGATTTAAAAAGAAATTCCTCTAAAACATAAAACAAAAACAAAATAGATTTTAAAGCCCTGTCTTGAACTTGGGGGCATGTACATTCATGTATATAATCAAATATGAGCGATTAACTAACCCTACCCATCATAGAAAACTGCACGTGATCATTACTGTGGGTCGTAGCTACTGTAGCAGAGCAGTATCACTGTAGGAGGTTTGTGTTTGAATAGATGATTTAAAGAATTAAGATAAAATGAAATAAAACAGATAAAATAGGAGAATAAAAATTAAATTGCAAAATTCAACAGAAAAGTCAGAGAGTGAATTTTTAAGAGGCAGTGAGAAGCAGAAACGTTTTGAGCCTTGAAACAACTAGAGTAAATCTCAAAGTTTTCTGGGAAGTTTTTTCCAGATATGTGGAGCATGAAAACTGAACAAAGTTTTGACTCTGGGGACAGAAAGCAGACCTGGCACAGATGATCTAAGACTTCTGGATGGCTCAAAACACAACAGCTGATTATAGATGGATTTTGGCCTTCGTACTATATAGTAGTATTTAAAAGGAAGTCGGTGCAAAGATTTGGTCTTGAGTTTAAATTTAAAATACTTTTGCTTTTAAAGTGTCGGGATGAGCTGCACTAAGCCAGTGTTTTAAAGCGTTGTGGTGAGTTCAGCTGTTTGGAGATACCAGGTTTCAAAAAGCATCAATTGATGTTGCCTTCAGAGGGAAATAATTCTACAATCTGGGTCTCAAACCTCGACTTTGTCACAGCGAGGAACAGAGAGCTTGGGGATCTCAGGGCTCTTTGCAGCATAACAATCAAACAGTCAAAGACAAGTTCACGAGTACTGAATGAATCCCACCAGCTGACACTGTGACTATCTCCCTCTCTCTCTCGTCCTCAGGTAACTACATGGGCCGGGGGACGACGGGCATGTGCGTTCGCTTCGTTCCCGCTCACCTGTCCAACAAGTCGTGCAGGGTGACGTCTCTCTGCTACAGCGAGGATGGTCAGGAGGTGCTGGTCAGCTACTCCTCCGATTACATCTACCTGTTTGATCCCAAAGATGACCAGGCCCGAGAGCTGAAGGGCCCGTCTGAGGAGAGGAGGGAGGAGGTGAGGGCACAGGACGACCCAGGTTTTTAGCCACACTAGTAACCTTGCTCTGACTGACGTAGCTCAAATATTATTGGATGGATCGCCATGAAATTTTACATAGATATGACTCTGATATAGATATGACTCCGGTGGTCGCCCCAACTTTTCCTCTAGTGCCACCTTGAGGATTTGTGATTTTGAGTGAGGTGTCTCAACTGTTTGAATAATTATAATCATTTTGATCGCCTGGCTTTAGTGTGTTGTGAGTTTAGCATGTTAGCTTGCAAATATTTGCTAATTAGCACTAAACACAAAGTAGAACTGGGACTGAGGGGAATGTCATTAGCTTTGCAGGTATTTTGTCATAAACTTAAGATATTGAAGTAAAAATTTTAGCCTTGATGAAGGCGCTAGAGGAAAAGTTTAGGAATCACCAAAAAGAGGAAAAGTCAGAGTAGCGTCGATCAGTAGGATACATCCTGTAGGAACCACGAATGTCTCCTACATTTCATGGGAATCCATCTAATAAATGTTGAGGTATTTTCAGTCTGGACTAAAAGTGCTGGATTGACCAACACTACCATCCATGGAGCCATGCTGTTCGCCTGGCTACAAACACAGTGAACAATACCCATCACGTCCATCGAGTCGCTGCATCCAAAACCCAAAAATATGCCATTTGATGTGATGTAAAACAAAGAAAAGCAGCAAACTGTCACATTTGAATACCTGGAGCCGGAGGAAAGTTTGGTTGATTTGCTTGATTAAACAACTGAAACAAAAAGCTGAGTATCAGAAATGTCATATCTGATACAGATAAGGTCAATGCAGCAAAAGTGTCTGCAGTGTGCCATCTGGATGAGGAATATTAAGCAGGTAGAGTCTTTACCCTTAAAACAGTGACGTCTCTTGTTCCATATGCTCCACATTAAGATCATAAAACCATCTGTAGCCCAGAGTATGACGCCGTGTCCGATTGGTTACTACTTGTATGTGTACTTTGAAAGATAAACATAAGCACATGTGGCAAATCAAAGTCTTCCATGCAGACAGTGATGATGTTTTTTATGGGAGGGGGGTGATGAAGGATTGTTTGCTGTAAACAGAGTGCACCTTGTTGTTGCCGTCTGCTTCTCTGAGAGCACTGCGGACATCAGTGCTATATCTGTACTGGCTGATGCAGTGCAGTGAGGGGAGCAAATGACCCTGAAAAACCAAGACAAGGAGGGACGGAGGAGAGGGGAAGAACAGCAGTGACGAGGAAAGGAAAAAACATGAAGGATTATCAGTAAAATCAAACCGGAAACATTTTTTCCTCCATGTGTTTGAGTCATTATCTGTTTGGTTGAGGGCTTCAGATAACCTCAGACTTCAGATAAACTGAGGCGTTCACGGTGAGCGCTCGGCTTCACGTGTGCCTGAATGTGCTGGATCATGGTGCCAGTGTTTCAAAGCCTTGTGGCGAGTTCAGCTGTGTCGAGATGCAACTACCACACACATTCCTTTCCAAATACAGTGACCGACGCAGGCAGTGTTCCTCTATCCTCCAAAATAGTTCAGGCTGAGGGGGTGGGGGGCACCAGCCAAGTAAAGGCTCGTTATCCTTCTCTCCTTTTCCTCCACCTGTGACCCCATTTGTTCGGGGTCTTTTTCTCTCTTATTTATTCGACTATGTCTTTCATCCTCTGCTCCTTTTCACCACCTCCAGCCCATGTCCAGACCTGATGACATTTCCTAAGTGAAGCAGTTGATAGTCCCTGCACTAAGACCCCCTTTTTCTATTTCTGGCTCTCAGCCTGTTGCCCTGCAGAGAGAGCCAGGGGACTGGAAAGTGAAGGCAACCTCAGTCGTGCAGGCAGGAGGGAAGGGGGTGGGGGTTAAAGAGGGCACTGACAGAGACGAGCAGTGTTTTGCTTGGCAGCGACTATTTTTGACCATGCTTTGACTGACAAACTGCTAATCTTCCGTGTGTGTGTGTGTGTGTGTGTGTGTGTGTGTGTGTGTGTGTGTGTGTGTGTGTGTGTGTGTTTCCACAGCTGAGGCAGCCTCCAGTGAAGCGCCTCCGTCTACGAGGTGACTGGTCTGACACTGGACCCCGAGCTCGTCCTGAGAGTGAGAGAGAGAGAGACGGTAAGAACACAGTGCCGCAGCTGACAAGTATGCGCTCCTGCTCGTCCACTTCGGAGCAGATCTGGCCCCTGAGACACTTTCACGAGCCCCTCATGTTAAGAATTTATTGTTAAATCTGGCCCACATTTTTTTATTTTTCTTATTTTCTTATGTATATATTTTTTATTTTAGAATAACAATGGGATTCCCTGGTTATGCTGCAAAATCAGAACATAAAAAATTGCTTTTTATTTATTACTTAACATTTACCAATCTGTGCCTAACTATACAGTTTGTTAATTTAATGTTGTTAATGAAACTAGGACCTGTTGGTTTCACTCTGTTTTAGCGTGGCACATCTTTTTAAGCAAAGAGCTGCTCATTTCGACATCCAGTCATTTAGAGTCGTGGTTCTGATCACCTGATGAATTTAAGTCCAGTATTCACAGAGTTTTAGCTCAGTTTCATGTCTCCACCAGCCCCTTAATCCTTAATTGATTATCTATCAATATCTGTTTCATCTGCAGAGAGAAAGCTGCAGTTCTCCAGGAGTACAATCAAACATATGAGGCAGTATGATCGTTACACGGGGCAGGAGGGATGAAAGTTTCAGAATGTACATAGTTGAAATTTTGTGTTAAAAAACAAAGTGGCAGAGAACAAGCCGGCCTGTGGCCCACGGGTAGTTTGAAGAGAAAGTGTCAAACTCTCACCACCTGCAGTCTTGAAAATCGGCTGTGAAATATTTTGTAATTTTTCTCCTTCACAGACAACAGGGTCTGTATTTTGCTTAAACTGAAACCACAATTGCTTCACTCTTTCGCACTTTTTGTTCCTCCATTTCTTTTTTCCTTCAATCGTTGAATCAATACTTGTGAAATTAACTGTCCCATTTTATTTCTAAGGGCACAAAAAGCAATAACAATCCTCTGGACTATGTTATCCAAATCTTGCAGCAGCGTCCTATTTGAAACTGTATGTTAATGGGATGTTGTGTGATATTTAACAGTTTATATTTAAGTGTTTCTCCTTCACTCCTGCAGGGGAACAGAGCCCAAATGTGTCTCTGATGCAGAGGATGTCGGACATGTTGTCTCGTTGGTTTGAGGAGGCCAGCGAGGCTCAGGGCAGCAGAGGCACCCGACCACAGACACGACCCCGAGGTGAGGCTTTCAGTTGTGTGTCCAGTAAAGGTGTCTGTTAGTGTTTTTACTTAATTCTTGAATTGTCTTCAGATCATTATTCAAGTCTAAGACCATAAAGGTCCTTACATTTATTTGTAAATAAGAAAATAATAATAATATAAAAAAAAAAATACATTAATTGTTTCTTCTACTTTTCAGTGAATCATTTAAGTATTTTTTTCTATCAAAAACATTCATAGGTTTCATCCCATCAATTGTGAGCTTTTGCTGCTTCCCTTTGCCTCATGTGAGAGTGAACTCAACATGTTTGGTCACCATTTTCTTACACTCTTTCAGACAAAAAGATTAACCGAGAAAATAATCTGCAGAATAATCAATAATGAAAATAATAGTTAGTTGCAGGCCTAATACAATACGATGTGTCTTAGTTAAGGAGTATGTTGACTACTACATGTTTCAGGATTCTTCATAAAAGAGATAAAGGCAGGTGATCAAGCGTGGAGCCAGAGACTTCAAATAAACAACTTATTTATCAGGTGCATGTGTCATAACCATGACTGACGCAGCCTCACCTGCTCCCATTGTGCACGGAAGAGGGGAAAATCTGAAAATGTCAAGCTACACTTTTGGTATAAAGACCAACTTTTAAACATTTGACTAAGATGAACATGACAGGAAAAAAAATGATGAGTGTGCCGTATGGTTTCAGGCCATTCACATTCCCGATGGTGGAAAAGGGTCAATAAGCAGGAGACGTTGCTTCTTGTGACTTTTTAATGTGATTACAATTCAACACCTGTTCCACACTGACCAAGTATCTGCTCATATTCTTGCTTTCAGGAACAGCCGTCCGTCCAGAGGGGGCGTCGAATACTCCAGCTGCCCCCGCAGGAGACTCCAGTCAGGAGTCCAGTGCCCCTGGGAGGCCTGTGGGGACAGACGCTCCAGAGGTACCTGCTGGTCCTGCTGCCTCCGCCGCCGCTGCCCCCGTGCCTAAATCCACTTCCTCTTCCTCCTCAGGGTCATCATCAACAGTCACAGCACCTCCTCCTTCCAGCTCCTCATCAGTGGAGAGTTCGGCCCCTTCCTCGTCCCCCGTCACCTCCTCCCCTGACTCTGAGCAGAGGAGTCAGGCCGACACGGCGGGGACACCCACGCCGACGGCCACGCCCACGCCCACCTCAGAACCTGCACTCTCAGGTAAAAGGCAGACAAAAAAAAAAAAAGGCGGACCCACCAGTCACCTGATTGTCACCTGTGAATTTTTCACAAAGTCAGTCACATAAATTCACATTTACCTCTTTAGTACAGTGACTGTGTATCCTCTTCTGTTCAGTACGTGGAGGGGGACCTCAGTGTTTACCCCATGTATGAGTGTGTGTTTGTCGGAGCCACTCCACTCAAGCAGCCGCCTCACTTCACTCTTTTCTCCTTCAGCATCCTGTTGTCTTCCTCCTCCTCGTTTTTTTTTTTTTTGTTTCTTCTTGCCTGACTCTCTGCTCCCGATCCTCTCCTCACATCTTCCTCCTGTCAGTCTTCTAATCTTGCATTCACTCTCCCTCTCTTCCTCTGCCTCTTCGTCAGAGTACGGTCCTCACCGGCTGCCCATAAGTTTAGTGTGTAGGCGTTTGCAGAGGTTACTACGGCTGGCCGACCCCCCAGGACAGGGTCAGCGAGCGGCCCGTTCTTCTTCTTCCTCCGCAGCCCCTGAGAGACAGTCACAAAGAGCTGCTACCTCTGCTGCTGCTGGTGCTGCTGAGACGCAACCCCGTACAGGTTACCCTCCCCTCCGAGCTCCCCACCCCCGCAGCTTCCCCTCTCCATACGGGCTGTTCGCCTGGGCCCCCTCCCCTGCCATCTTACCCTTCCCCTCTGTGTTGGCAAAGCAGACGTGTCTGTTTGTAGAGACAGTCAGGCTCCAGAGAGACCCGGTCTTGCCAGAACTGACCACTAATCCCACAGTGATCCTCTTTCCATTTTCAATAATGCACCCTGTACTTATTAACCTCTGTAGCTGCCGCTGTATCGTCTCTCCACTGTTTGTTCAGCCCCTCGCTCACTAATGCTCTCACTCCATCACTCCACTTGTTGCTTGAGTTTTCACCTGCAAACTGTTGGAGTGGCACCAGCTGACGTGTGTGAAGCTCTGCTTTGGCGTCCTCCATGTCTCATGCGGTTGTTCGCCCATGTTTGATGATGCATACTGATCAGTTGTCTTAACTACTGACACTAATCCAGGACTTTGACTCACTAAAGCCCTTTTCAGACGTGGAATATGTAACACGGATGTGTTCATCTGTCTGTTAAAGTGATGGCTTTTTAATCAGAGGAGGACGTTTCTCACACAGGCTGCATCAGTTATGGTTCTTAAAATTTATTTTGCAGCTGGAGCCTTAATTAATGGCCATCGTGAGCTCACCGGCGCTTCTCAAATTGAATCCACTTGTTGTCTCAGTTTCATCAGAGAGCAAATTCAGCTGCCTGTTTTCTAATATCCGACAGTGCACGAGCACAGCATGACAAGATGTTAATTTGGGACTCTAGTTTAATTCCTATTGGCTCACATGATGAGTGCAGAATGTTAAGCTTGGATATCAATTTATTCTTCCCTGCAGTTTGCATCAGTAAAAATCAGAAAAATAGTCAAGGAGTGCTGGTTTGAAGATTATTGAGGTTGTATGTGTTTTAATATCTCTTTTGCACTGCACCACAGAGGGAAAACACTCCTTTAGTTTATGGGATCTGACATGTATAGAATCCTCCCAGCGACTCATTCACAAGTATTTCCTGGTTTTTAAAACTGCAAGAGATGATAATTAAGTGATACGTTTATTACAGTGCCAGGGAGAAGATGGTCAGTCTCTCTCTCTGCATGTTTTTCCGCCTTTATGTTCACAGGATAACATTCAATTCAGACTTGTGAAATGTTACTAGGTCTACTACGTAGTTTAAATGAGTAAGTGACTCAGACGCTTATTTGAACATGAGATCTACGTGTAAACTTGCCGTCACGTCTGTGTCCTGAGGTCTCGTGTCTGAAAGGGGCTTTATTGGACACATTGTTTAACGTTAATGCATCTGCCGCTGGTGATTCACTGTCAGAATCAAGAGTCATTGCTTGTATGTGTTTAAGTAAAAACCAAGCGTCACTATCAGAAGAAGTGCAGAGAATATTTTTGTTTACTCATTTTATCTCATTTAAAAACATGCAAACAGAATTTTATCATGAAGCTTATATTTGCTTTTGTGTTGTTATATTCCATCTAAGAATGAGTAAATCTTGGTGGTTGTTATTTCCCAGCTTATATGACATATTCCATTCATAGATTAAGTTGCACATCTGTGGTAAGCATGTGTGAACTCACGAATCTCTGATGCTCATTTTGCATATAAAAGCTGAAACTGCACCAACAGTATGTGAAATGATCCTCCTTGATATCAGATGAAGCTTTTTTTTTTTCCTTTGGCTGATTTTTACAGCTCCTCCTGCTTGGCCTTGGATCGTTTTTTTTTTTTTTTGACTTTGAAGTTTTTAACCCTTGTGCGTCTTGACTGTGTGAGCCCTCAGGTTTGACCTCTGTGTCCAATGTTTAGTCGGTCTCATTTGTGTTCCAGATTCCCCCTCGTCTGTGGTAAACAAACAGCTGGGATCCATGACTCTTGATGAACAGCAGGGTGCGTCCTCTCCCCCCACCCTGCCACTCGCTTTGTCGTCTTCACCCTCCCTCAGGGGAACATAAACGCTTTTCCTCATCCTGACCATGTCCACAGTCTGTCCTCCGTTCTTTTCAAACTTTTGTCTCTGTATCCACTGCTTTACTTTCCCATTATCTGTCCACATACACATTAAAGTGCAGATAGAAGTTACTAACAAATGAATCTAAGTCATGAAATCATCAAGATACTGTGATATTATCTGAATATTGACTTATATACATTGATTAAGAACCCCCACCTGCATGTTGGGTGGTTAAGTTAACAAACTGCTTTTTACCTGTAAAGGTTAGTTCATCCAAATTACAGCACCGACAACAAAAAACAAGATGCGTTATATTGTCTTAAAACATAGATTTGTTTTTTCTTACCCAGGTTCTGAGTAGGGCTTTAACTAACAATTATTTTCATTATTGATTAATCAGATAATTATTTTTTTCAATGCAACAGTTGTTCAGCCCATAAAAAGTCAGAAAAAAGTAAAAAAAAAAAAAAAATGATATTGAAGTGTCGTGTTGTAGTGTACTGATATTGATTAATATCAGTACATATCAACTGATACTAATTTTCTTATGAAAGCATTTTTGATTTTTAAGGTTTCCTTAACATTTGTTCTTTTGAATAGTTGACATGATTGATATGTGATTAAGCCATTTGACGGATGAAGTATGATGATGATCTCAAGCATATTTTTGTTCAGCAGTTTCTTTCTCAGCTGACATATATACAGATACAATATACAGATAAAATATCTGATAACACCTCAGCCAGTTTATCAGTCTAGTTCCAGTTCACGCTTGCGGCTTGAACCAGTTGATTTTTTTGGGCATTTTAGCTCAAAGAACTGACGGGAACAATTAACCAGTTATCAAAATAGCTGACAACTAATTTTCCCTCTACTGTAATGATCTGTTTATGACATGTGACTTGCCTCCCGAACACAAAGTGCCAGTTACACTTCATAATCCGCAAATTTCAAATGTCATCAGTTTTTATTGGGAACAATTTTTTTTTTTAAAGTTGATAAACATCTCTAACAACTTAAAAATCTAATATAAGTGAGGTTGAATCTCTTTGACGTGACTCTTGTCAAAGACTGTTGTGTGTGTAAGGTGTGTAATGTTCCTTCTGGGGCTGTGACTTGTGTATCTTGTGTCTCTGTGTGTTTCTGTCTTGTTGCTGTGGCTGCGTGTTACAGTGTGTCCTCCTCTGCTCTGGTAATGTCTGCTGCATGTTCCCATCATTGTTTGGTGCTGTTATTCAATGGGAAGTGATGCAACAGATTGTTGCACATTTCCAGTGTGCTTATAAAAGCAACAGGAAAAAAAATGCTCTATTTATTTCAATCAAAATTACAAGGTTAAACGGAACAGTCAGTATTTTTCTACTGCACTAATGAATCCCTCTTATTTGCCTGTGTCTTCCTCTCTCCTCTCAGGAGGAGCAGAAGCTGCAGGTTCACCTCCTGATGAATCTGTATCTGCACCAGCCACCAGCAGCGCTTCCACCACCTCCTCCTCCACCGCCGCCGCCACCACCTCCTCCTCCTCCTCCTCCTCCTCCTCCTCCACCACCACGGCCGGCACCAGTCGACCGAGCGCAGCAGAGCCGGTCCTCAGCTTACACTACAGCTCAGAGGGAACCACTACCAGCACCATCAAGCTGGACTTCACTGATGAGTGGTGAGTGAAGAAAGTCCAGTGAGTCTCTGCTCTCTGGAATCACTGTGAAGGTCTGTCAGAGGTGTTTTCATTCTTACACCTTGAAGGATTTCAGTGAGTGGATTTGTTTATATGGTAGCTCTTTATTCCAGAAACATGCCATATCCAGCTAATCAGTTAAAACAAACCAAATGACACAGCACACCATGCCAATTAAATACACGGTACCAAAAAGACAGGTAAGGGACCTTCTTTTTGTTCACTACAGAGGGTGCAAATTGGTTGTGGGGGTGCAATTTAAGTGATTTTATTGTACAGGCTGTTTTCTATTGGACCTGGTCCTTGATTTTGAAGAAGAATCCTAAGAATTTTACGACTACAAAAACGGTGTGCAGAATTTCTGATTCCATCTCAGTTTGCAAAGAGAAAAATCTGCTCCGTAAAACAGACAGTGCCAACTCTGTAATGTAACTTTGAGTTATAAAACCTTCACACTCACACATTTATTTTTCTCTTCTTCAAAACAAATGTAAACCATGCAGCCGCAGGCTTGACGCACTTGCTCACTGCTTTCTTTCCTCTACAGGAGCAGCACGTCCAGCTCTATGGGCAGCGGAGCTCCCAAAACATCTGAGGCCGTGGCCGCACAGAGCAGAGCGAGTGTGAAGACGGAGAGCTCAGTGTCGGAGCAAGGTGAGGGAGTCGTCTCCTCCAGCATCATGAAAACTGACCTGACACAATTTTAAATCAAATCAAATTTAGAGTAAAAGCCTGTTGCACCTGTGAAATCCCGCCTCACTTATAAGTGTGATCTGTTGTGACCACGTTTTTTTAGATAAACTTTTTTTTCTGAAATCAAGTGCGTTATACAAACAAGAAAACAGCAATACATGTCGAAGCCAAATCCAAATATATATTAATATTTTAAATGGTTTTGACAACTTTATTATTTAAGCAGGATGAGATAGTGTCTAAATAATGTTCATTTTTCTTCAGAAATACAGTAAAAATGTTTTTTTTAGTAAATTTACATTTGTGAAAATGAAATTTTCCCATGAAAAAAAAAACATGACTAAGAAAATTGTAGTCGTTGTATTTATGATATAGAAAGGAAAAAAAATGCTTTTATTTTATTTATTTTTTAATTTAATTTATTTTTTATTTATATTCATTTTCATGAAGGAAACATAGAGATGCCACAGAAGACAAATAAAACGTAGTAATAGTGTATTTCTATTTAATAAATACAAATAAAACTTTCAAATACTCTAAAACATGAACTCTTTCATACCTTGATAATTACAGGCAACACATCTGACTTGCAGACCTACAGCTCAGAACACCATACTAAACTAAAAAATACTGCAAAGTCTTGATGTATTAAAGTGTGTTTCCTCTCAGCTCCCTCTGAGTACCCGAAGCAGCAGAGTGTGCCGGCCGCCTCTGCAGAGCCCCCGTGTGACGCCTCCTGCTCCGGTGCCGCCGGCAGCTCGTCAGCTCCGGCCCCGGCGGGGGGCCCCTCTGAGGGCAACGGCGTGGCGTCTTCACCGGCGGAGAGGAGTCAGCCGGAGGGTACGGAGGACACATCGGGAGGCTGCAGGAGAGCGGAGCCCACAACGGAGGAGGGCCACTGTGGGAGGGGGCCGCAGTGGAGAGGCCCTCTCTCACCAGAGTGGGCGGGCCAGAGTCAGCCCGCACGGGGCAACCAGGACTCTGATGACAGCGATGACGATCCGATCCTCATCCCATCAACGAGGCTCAGGGGACAGGGACAGAGGTACGTTAGACAGGATGTTGCTCTTTAAGAAAACACCCTCATGTGTTTGAACGCAGCTTATTATCTGTTAGATTCAAATATTGCTCACTTTTAAAGGGTGGGCATGCTGACCTGGGTTTTTTTATGATGCCTTGCCATTGATTGTTTTATTACAAATATAGATTTAATACCAGAGGATCTGCAGTAGGAGATAGGATGATCAGGTAAAGTCCTTGCACTGGCAACTTAAAGCATCTAACCTTTCAGGTGTGTGACATGCAGCAGAGCTTTAAAACTCAACAGTGTGTAGTTTGAAGATAACGGTTTATGTGTTGGTTTGGTCATTCCACAAAAAAAAAAAAAAAAAATCACAGAAACACTAATAAGCACACAGCTAACTTTAGTGTTAGAGCGCCGTGCATGTGAGTACTGACTCCACAAATGGTGTGGGCATTTTGAGGATGTGGCACCACAGAGAGGTGAAGAACGAAGAGTGAATGACGAATGTGTGCATGACATCCTGATGGAAAGGAGCCGAGCAATGTAAATTTTCTCAGTAGGGGCTCTTTAAAAAAAACAAACAAAAAAAAAACATATCAACGGAAATTTTTTTCAACATGAACCGGTGTGTATCTGATTGAATTCACTGACACTGTTGTCTTGTAGTGAATGGTCAAGGCTTTGCATAACAATGGTAATGGCTTAATTCAGTTACCACAGAGCGAGTGGCTGCTTTCTAGCTTGGAGTTTTGTTTAAAAAAAAAAAAAAAGAAAAAAAAAGCTTGTTATTGATCAATGCGGCATAAAGTAAAAGCATGGAGTTCATGAACATCAATGACAGCATGCGGTTTGTCTGTCTTTCTTTTTGTGCGCTTTGTATTTACACGTATTGGCTTTCGTTGTGTTTGTCAGACGCTCGGCGGCAGCTCGTATCCAGGAGCTGTTCCGCAGGAGGAAAGAGAGAAGGGAGATGGAGGAGAGCGAGACCCAGAATATCAGGAGACCCTCAGTCAAAATGGTCTACAAGGGTCACCGCAACTCCAGGACAATGGTAAACCTCGGGCCATTCACATCGTATATTTGTTAGGGGTGTGAGGACCTCATGGAAAAGCCTCTTAAAGGAATAGTTCAACATTTTGGGGGAAAAAAAAAGCATGTCATTTCAGAAATCAAGTCTTTCTAGCTGTTCCAAAAGGCCACAGTCGAAGAGAGGGAGGAGATAGAAACTGGGATTACAACAGACACTTTTGAAGACAGTCTGTCCTGGAAACCATTCATTGTGTTGCAGTCAATGCTTCACATGAAAAGTGACAGAAATAGTTGTTACTTAGGAAAAAAAAAAGAGAGGGAGGTTAAAGGGAGGGAGGTTCCGCAGGAGGAAAGAGAGAAGGGAGATGGAGGAGAGCGAGACCCAGAATATCAGGAGACCCTCAGTCAAAATGGTCTACAAGGGTCACCGCAACTCCAGGACAATGGTAAACCTCGGGCCATTCACATCGTATATTTGTTAGGGGTGTGAGGACCTCATGGAAAAGCCTCTTAAAGGAATAGTTCAACATTTTGGGGAAAAAAAAAAGCATGTCATTTCAGAAATCAAGTCTTTCTAGCTGTTCCAAAAGGCCACAGTCGAAGAGAGGGAGGAGATAGAAACTGGGATTACAACAGACACTTTTGAAGACAGTCTGTCCTGGAAACCATTCATTGTGTTGCAGTCAATGCTTCACATGAAAAGTGACAGAAATAGTTGTTACTTAGGAAAAAAAAAAGAGAGGGAGGTTAAATTCTTGGCTCCATTCTCACTTCTGCACATTTTACGTTGAGAAGTGGGTGTGAATGATTTTGAGTTTCAGAGAGTTACAGAAATGGTCGGTCACGTTGAAAAGGTGAGTGGGGAGGGGGTCTCTGAACCTGTTTGAGCATCCGACTAGCAGCCTCTGGTGAGGCAGACTGGTGGCTCTCTTTCACGGTAAATTAGGAGATCAATATCAAGCACGTGTCTCTACATTAAATATGTATTTAAAGCCAGGATTTGCTTATCTTAGCTTATTTTAGCTTAGTATAAAGACTAGAAAGAGGGGGAAACAACTAGCCTGTGTCTGTCAATTTTTTTTTTGTAAATGCACCTACCAGCACCTCTGAAGTTCACAAATTAAAATAATGTATCTCATTTATTTAATCCAGACACAAACGTGAGAAAACAACAATTTGTGGTTTCACTGGGGATTAGGAAATTCTGGGCAGATGGATTAACTGTCGGTTGTCAAGAAACTGTTGGGCAGGAAACTCTTTCTGAAACCAAAGTGTCGTTTTTACATTGCTGTTTGTGTACGCATTAAACAAACGAGATACATGTTAATTTACGAGAGTTTCGTCATGCTAACTTCAGACACAGCCAGGCCAGGTGTTTCTAGTCTTTAACTAATTAGTCCTCTCATCTAACTCCCGGAGAGAAAGTGAATAAATGTATTTCCCAAAATCTTGGAACTATTCCTTTAACAATCAGCGGATACAGTTTTTTAAGGTTTTACCTCTTTCGTGTGTAGATAAAGGAGTCGTGTTTCTGGGGCAACAACTTTGTGATGAGCGGCTCAGACTGCGGCCACATCTTCATCTGGGACAGACACACGGCAGAGCACCTGATGCTCCTCGAAGCCGACAACCACGTGGTGAACTGCCTGCAGCCGCACCCCTACGACCCCAGTGAGCCCCACCCCAGCTTCACTCTGGACCACTGATCATTTCGCCCAAATCCTCTCTGATAAGATAATGCGATGATGTTGTCTGATATGTTAACTTTTCATTTTCTGGGTCTGTTTCAGTTCTGGCTTCTTCAGGGATAGACTATGATATCAAAATTTGGTCGCCACTGGAAGAGTCGCCATCTTTCAACAGAGTCCTCGCTGACGAGGTACGAGAGATCACTGAAACCCTGTCCTCTGCTTCGGACAGGAGAGGAGAAACATCTGAGAAGAGAGCTGGTGGTTTTTGGGTATTTGTAGAGCTGGTTTTAATTCGCTGTGGAGATTCTGCGTCAGATCACGGTGACCCGTTGACTCCTGGCCGGCCAGACTCTTTGCTGCTTGTCATTCCCCTACTCTTTTTCCCCACACGAAGAGTAAATGAAATTGAATTTAGCTAATTTCAAAGTAATTTAACTCCATTTTATTTTTTCTATTAATTTATTTCACTCAGCTTAATTTAGTTTAAATGTTAATTTATAATATTCAATTGTTTTAATATAATGAAATTTACACAATTTGTCACAGAAAACCAGGATTCTCATTAGATTTTCTCTCTTTCTGGAACAAAAGCATTTGTTTCCTTCCTGTTACGCACCTGATTCAAGTTCCTTCACACTTTAATTTACACACTTGTCTCCTCCTCCTCTGTCAAGGTAATAACTCGGAACGAGCTGATGCTAGAGGAAACGAGAAACACAATCACAGTTCCAGCCTCTTTCATGCTCCGAATGTTGGCCTCCCTTAATCACATCAGATCAGGTACGTACACACACACACACACACACACACACACACACACACACACACACACACACACACACACACACAAACCTGTTTTTTAACCTCATGCAAATTGTTTAAATATATGTGCCTATTAATGCCTGGGAACAGAAATATCTGATATATATCTACTTTTTCATCCTGTAGATCGACTAGAAGGCGATCGCTCTGAAGGTTCGGGCCAGGAAAATGAGGATGAGCAGTAGCCTGCTGGCATTTTATTATAAAGAAAACACTATTTCTTCTTGCTGTATAGCACTTGAAAAAAAGATTTGTACAAGTATAGTGTAGAATACTTCCTTTTGAAAATTAGTATAATTTCTAGCCCCCCTGTTTTTTTAAGATGACTTTCTTACTGATGTTTCTGTATGAGGATAAACTACATTTGTGTGAATGCAAAAGGAAAGGACGTCAGTATATATATATATATTAAGTGTGAGAATAATGGCGACTGGTGTGCAAGGATGTTAAGTGCAATATTATTTTGTAGGAGAGAGTGAGCTTTGATCAGTGTTAACGTGTGACATTTTGGATTTGTAGCACAAAGCTAAGAATTGTTGATGTGCTGCTCCGGCAGTTACGCATGTGAACAAGGACTTTAAGTAAAACAAACTTGGAAAATGCTTTAATTTTGTTGTTGGAAAACCAGAATCAAAGCTGAGGTTCTTCTCCCCAAAGGGTCACGTCACTAAATTATAATCTTTTACAGAATTTGGAAAAAAAATAAAAGTCAATGGCATCTCAAAGATGTTGGCACTTGTCCAGAAGACAAACGCTAATGGTGACTGTTCATTGATCAAACAAATTAATTCAAATTAATTCAAGAATTAAACAATAATCTCTGTACATCGTTTACAGACTTGCACAGACCTCTGGAGAGATGCTCTGGGTAGATACTAAGTGAAGCAGCAATAATTGTTGGCAGGATACGTTTCGTGGATGTCTGCAGTCTTCACCAAACTGACTTTTTCAACTGTATATAAAAATAATTCCCAGTAATATAATTAATTGGACATGACATGGACCTGGTAAGTGCCAGAAATTTGATGGATGGATTAAGCAATTTAGAAAAATAATTTATCTAAGTGAAGTTAATTAAGGTTTTTGCTAAAATAAACTTTTGTGAGTCTTTGCTACTGTGGCTAGTGGTAACAACAGTGTTTGATACAGGTCTGATGGTTCTGACTTTATAACTAATGTTACTGTTTACGGCAGGTAAGAAAAAATATTCAAGATGAAATGTAAGACTTAAGGTCTTTTTATTGAGGGAACTGAATTCAATGCTTTAACATTTTTCAGGACTTGCAGACACCCTGGTAACGCTGTGAAATCACAGCAGCACAGAACAGGACAACAATTTGTTCAAAAAACTTTATGTAAAAAAAGGTAATAGAAGAATCTTAATACAAAACTTTACTGGAAATATTGGTATTAATAGTTACTGTATAGTGAAAATCAAAAGGTTACATCACTTCTCAGGTGTACAGCTTTTTCTTACAAAAGTAGTACCTGTTCAAACGTAATACAAAAATACGAGGTAAGACTGAAGCATCAGAATTGTGCTCTACACATTACAAATCTCAGAGTTCCTTTTATAATAGCAAAGGAAATGGTGGAGTGTATAAACTGAGGTAAACCACATGTACCACCAAATTAATAAATTTTGTAGTTTAACACCAGTTTTTTTTCCTTAAGACAGAACTTGCCCTCTGATTTAACACTGAACACGATTTCTTTTTCAGTGAGTTGACTTTCAGTGACCAATAGTAATTTATTTCCGTCATGTCTTTGCATTGCCCATTTTGTGCACAATATTATGAAATGTGGGCCCTTGCTAATGCATTTTCGTTGATATAACAATCTTGAAATATTAATAACAGTCGGTCTCCAAATGACTAATTTTGGACTTCATTACTTCATGAGTCTGTTTTCTTGTTACCTCATTTGGTCGTCACTACATCCCTGCTATTATACAGCTTCGCCTTGGACTGTATCCAAAAACTCTGACCAAACAGTAATAATCTCCTTCTCTGACATTAAGCAAGAGTGGTTTCTGTGAGAACAAGTACACACTGTATGTTCAAGTGCAATTACTGTGCATGTCCACAGTCGTACGTAGCAGATCCCTGCTCCTAAAACACAATAAGAAACACACCTTAATCTTTATGTACCTTAATAATACTACAAGTGTTGACAGATTCTGTTCATATGGTGAAGCTCAGGGCTGGGCAATACATAGATGGACTGTATCACTGTAATAACTTTGAATTTCAATACACAAGTTCATTTTCAAAATGTGCCTGTTTCCTAAACCAAATAAATCCTATTCATTCCTATGTGCTTGAACTTACAGCCAATTTAGTAGACCTGCAGTGATTAGTTGACTAATCGATTAGCTGATCGATATAAAATTAATTGTTGGCTATTCTGATACTCAACTAATGATTTGTCATTATTGGATGGTTCTAGCTTCTCAGATGTGAAGACTTGATGCTTGATGTCGTACATACAGTAATAATAAACTGAATATCTTTGGCTTTTGGACTGTTGGTCAGACAAAACAAGACATTTGAAGATGTTATTTTGTGCTGTGGGAAATTATAATGGGCCTTTTTTTTTTCCTATTTTCTGGGCTGAAAATCTGGGCTTGAAACAGACTTTTCTTACTGTAACTAAGAAGAACTTTTGAAAGGGATCTGGTAGCAGTGTTTTGAGTCCTTTGGAAGATAGAAATGACTGTATTCTTTCATACTGCCCAGCCTTAATGAGGTGTGTGTTCTTGTCATTTCCATGGACATACAATAACAATAATATATAGTAGTAAACAATTTACTACAACATTCAGACCATTTAGGTTACAGTAGTTAAGTCTTCCTGTGTGATAACATACAAAAGCTTGCAAAGATTGGTGTGCACTTTGTGTGGTCCATCATAGTGGAATGAATAATGTGCCTCTTCCTGTTTCCTAATAATTTCAAGTATGGGGTACCCATGTGTAACAAGACTTCATAATGTGTACCAAGGAGCAGGAAAAGCTCCAATCTGAAAGGTCTCATATATAACAGTGTTAAGGGTGCGAAACCCTTACAGTTCACCAATAATAACGGTGTATGGTCTAAGAGCGTCCAACAAGTTACCAGACCGGCTGTGCTCAGGCTGGTTTCTCCTCCACGTCCTGCTCTTCTTCATCTCTGTCGTCTTTGACGATCCCTTCATCGATACTCTCCAGCCTCAGTCTCTGACCGTCCAGGTATCTGGGTCTCGGCGCTGCCCTGGTCGTGAACAGTCCCGCTGGCAGGGCCAGACCGTCCCCAAACAGAGTGAGTTTAGCGTCGCTCTCTATAGCCTTCGCCAGGCAGGAGGCAAAAGAGTCGAGAGATTTGTGTACCTCTGCGTGGACTTGGACTGAGGATGTGTTGGTGTTTTCAGCTGTGGAGGAAATTGTTGATACTGAATTATTTGTGAGGTCTATTAGACAAATGCTACAGTAAACAAATCTTATGTTTCATTTGATTTGTTTTGTAGCTTGCTGACCACAAACTCTTTTTTTTCCAAGCCACCTGTGAGTATGAACTCTCTCCTCTCTAATCTTTTGTGGAGCAGGGAAATGACAGATACCTTTGGAATGCTCCACCTGGTCTTCAAACGTGACTGAGCTCCTCCTCTTCCCTGATGGATTTCCGTGCTGCTGTGCTTGGGAGGTGCCGTCAATGGAGAAGTTATCCAGCAGCATCACATCTGTACCTGCAGGCGAAACAAAAAACCGTGGTGAAGTGAAAGAGGTACCTCACAAAAAACTCAGTGTAAAAGGAAATATCCTCCTCATAGCTCTGATAGCCAGAAAAGTACACAATGAGTCGGATAATTAGACATTTCTTTGTGTTACACATGACGTTACTTGCCCAATTTACGCCAGCCTCAAATGAAAACATGAGCTGTGTAACAGGAATGTGAGGCTGACAGTAACAAAGCTGTGGAAGTATGACGCAATAGGGTGAGTAAGATCATCTGCCAGCCTTTCAAGACCCCGTGTTTACAACTTAATCTGATGTTCAAGTTAAGATCAACAGTTGGGTTTTAAAAAGCAGGATAGGCCCAGTTTAACAGAAGGAATGAAAAGATTTGTCAAGAAACATCCAACTTCTGCTGGTGATACTACCAGCAGTCCTTAAGCAAATATAAGGACAACCCAAGAAGTTGATGATTAGCATTAAATATAATTGAACAGTGGGTTGTAGTGCTTTAGTGATTATTCAATGATTTATTATTCAAAAGAAATAATCTAGCAAATCTGATAACAAATAAATTCAATGTTCAAGTAAATTATAAAGAAAAATATCAAACTGTCTCGTTTCAGCTTCTCAAATGTGGGAATTTGTTGTTTTTCATTGTTTTATATAATTTATATAATATATAATGTATTTGAGTTTTGGATTGTCGGTTGGTCCAGACAAGCTTTTTAATAGGATGCCACTTTGGGCTCAGGGGAATTGTAGTAGGCCTTTTCCCTCTGTTATATCTAAACATTTCATCTATAAAAGTCAAATGTCAAGAAAATTTGAATAAGATTTACACCAACACGTTTTCCAGTTACACCATCAAACCTCTTTCTGCCTGGTCTGTGTTGGGTTAGCAATATGTAATGAAAATATCAAATGAAACTACAATAACAAGAGAATATGTTGATCAAAAATCATGACGGAATTGTGATCTCAGTTCTGATTTAAAGAAAATAAAAAAAATAATGTGATTCACATTTTAACTATAATTAAAATGTGAATCACATCACAGTCCTAAAATGAGAGTAAGTATGTAGTATATACTGTGCAGATTTAGTGTATAGGATGGATTTAGGACACACAGAGGGAGTCTTTTCTAAATCCCTGTGCTTCCTGTGTGCAACACTTACATGAGTCCTGAGTGAAACTGAAGCCAGTATCTCCTGTGCTGCTGCCAGGGGCTAACAGATGCCCTCCACCCGCCAGCATGGCAGTCAGGTGTGGGGACATACCCAAGTCTGAAAGAACACCAGAAAGCTCTTGTCAAACAAACTCACACATACAACACACAAAATCATGACAGCACAGGACTGTAAATCTAAGCAGGCTGTGTAAACAGTACAAAAACATTTATACAGGCATATTCTAGAAATAACAAGTTGTCCTTGTTTTGGCGGTCTATTTGCATCTTCCTGAACATTGTTTTTGGTACTGTGTGTAGCACATTGAGAGCCACCAAAGTCACAATCCGTATATTTTTAAACATGCTTGGCTAATAAAACTGATTCTGACTTTTGGACACCGACTTCACATTTTAACATAAAAAGGTCAGAAATCCAGGAACAGAGATATGCCAACATTCCCATTCATACCGATCTGCATGGAAAACTTTTCCCACCTGTGATTCTGTTGGAGATGCTGAACAGTCGGGACGTCCTTTGTCGAGTGGCAAACGACTCTCTGTAGTAGCGGTCTCCAAAGCACATCCCCAACAGCTCCTTCCTCACCGTTTTATTCCACAGACCATAGATGAGCGGGTGGCACACGGCACTGCAGAAGGAAAGCCATGCTACCAGAGTCTCCAGCCCCTCAGAAACACTCCCCTGTCCCAACAAAGCCTCAGTACACACCACACCAACATACGGCCCCCAGGTCATGAGGAAGGTGCCTATCACCACTAAGATGGTGACGAAGGCCTTGCATTGGCTCCCTGCGTACACAAGGCTCCGCCGGCTTCCATTAGAGGAAGTTGAGGTGCTGGAGTTCTTACGTCCGTTCCTCTGAGCTCCACTAGAATCGTCCTGAGCCACGACGACGGTTCCACAGTGTACTTTACGAGCTTTCATGCGGGCGACGCGGAAAATGACACCGTAGCAGGCCAGCATGATGAAGAAGGGGGGAAGGATGCACCACGCGACCCAGAAGGCTGTGTAGCTCGGCTCTCTGTGCCAAGACGCAACACAGGTCCACTTGAAGCAGTCAAACTCGAAGGAGGACCAGCCGAACAGAGGAGGCAGACAGCCCACCAGAGAGTGTAACCACACATAGGCAATGACCACGACCGCCCGGTTTCCTGTGATCTTCATGGGGTAGATCATTGGGTAGAGCACTGCGTAATACCTGTTGCAGCAAGAGAGGAAAGCAGTGAGGGAACAATCAATAAGGGAAACATAACACCTTTCTCAAGGGAGCCTTCTGGTCCAACCAATACAGAGACTGCTCAGATTTGTGAGTGTGATACAGAGACTAAAGGCGGCATTTCCCCCCCAACAAAGCTGTAAAGTGTTTTCTGAAAAGCTGCATACAGAGGAGAAAGAGAGGGGCTTGGCAGAAGAACAACAACATGCACTGTAATCAAAAATTCCCAAAGGTGCTCGGGGTAATTAGGATAGCAGTGAGAACAGTGAGGACTGTATGCTACAAGGAAAATTTTATTTTAAATTTTTACAGCTCGCTGTGATTCCTGACAACAATATATTTTAAATAAGGTGGTGTTAAATGTTATTCCGACAAACTTTTAAGTGCAATGTGTCTCGATAAAAAGTCTTAATTAGGGTTGTAACCTAGGTTTATTTTCATTGTTTATTAATTTGTTGATTTTTTTTTTTGTTGTTGGTTCTTTTTCTAAATGATAGATTAATCCTTTGGTGTATAACTGTTTCTCCAGGGGGTGTCTTCAAATTTCCTGTTTTGTTGAACAAGCAATCCAAAACCCAAAGAGATTAAATTTATAGTGATATAAAACTGAGAAAACCAGAAAATCCTTTAGCAAGGGAATGTCTGGTAGGCCTGTTTTTACACGATGAATGACTTGAAAGATGAATCAAATCATTACTGTTGACAATATTTGATAAAAATAAATCAATTAATCAAATATTTGATTTTAAGTTGTGTTATTTTCTGGCAAACTCTTTTTAAAAGGGCTTGGTATAGTTTTACATTTTTGGATGCCAATATGAAACCCTAATTACAGTATTGATAACAAAAGATACATTTTATACATTGACATCTCATATCGAGGAATATAAACATTTTCTCCTTTCTCAAATGCATGTTTAATTTTGTCTTAACTCAAAACAGCCGTACAAGAACTTTGCCTAAATGAAATACAGTCTTCAATTACCTAAATTATTATTTCACACTTTAAGTATCAAATCAATTAATAAGCAAACAAACCTAAGAATCTATTCAAACACCGAATTCCAACTTTCATTACTTTTGTCAATACAAGAGACACATTTTGGTTGGTGCTTAGAAAGTTGTTAAGTTTTATCCTCAGCCCTATTTCTTGAAATTTTCTTTGACTAAAAAATTAAAAAGGGGTTTAGTTTGCTGATTAGCTATGTACATGTCGGCACTTTTATTTGTGTATCAGTTTCTTATTTCTAAAAATAGGAATTAATGGAAATAATCTCAGCTCTGCAGATGAATGGTGCATTCATATCAGTGGACATTTGAAGTTACTTTGTGTAAGCCTGTCTAATGCTTGTCACTTGAGCTGGGAAAATCTCCAGAAAAATACCATGACCTAAGTGTGTGGTTGACTAATCTTATTTTACAAGGCAACAGACTGACCTTAAAGGGAAACACACCAAACATTTAACTTTTTCTCGTTTGTGAACAAGAATAGTTCCAGAGCCAGGAATAACAGAAAAATGTCAAATCTCTTATTCACTGAAAAAGGTTGACCAAGAACAGCAGCATCAAAATGTGGAGATGCTTTATAATTGTACTGAGGTAAAGACACAGTTCACATTTACTAAAAAAATATGTGCTCTGCTCCCAGAAAATGGAAAAATACCTATTTATTGGCTTTTATAACAGGTTTTTTTTTTTTCACAAAAGCTGTTAACGTTTGTCACTCAGTGAAAGATATCACTGCATGAGGAATGAAAGCACAGACCACATATTTTGTTGTTCACTTTCATACCAACTGTGACGGACATAATCATGCTCCTGCTAATCTCATCAAGATGTTTTGTCACCAAAAACGGTTTGCAAAGAATTTTATTTAACAAAACAGATTCAAAAAAATAAATGAATGCAAATTCAACTCATTTGATTGTAATGAAAAAGAAATCTCACCAAGGCCTGTACTTGAGTTTTTAAAAAAACACATCTTTTTGTATGTGGGGTCTTCTGCTTCAGTAGCTCATTCTAAAATTTCACCACGCTAGTTACATCTGAGTAAAATATCCACTCTCCCCAATAGATACTGTTGTATGCAAATGTTTGCCACCATTACTGTTCAATATTTTCTGTTTTTTAAGTTCATGAAATAAAAAGTAGCATGTCTTAACATTTGAAGAACGGCTCATTTTTTAAATGTCTGTTGCTGTATTTACTGCTGTATATGTAAAATACTGCTGTATTTATTTCACTCCCAATACTGTTGTATTTATTATCACCCATGAAAATGCTGCTCCACTGACAACAAATACTGGGCCACATTTGCAAAAACAGCAATGTCAGTCTTTTTTAGCTACAATGGAACAAATGTGTTGTATTTAAGAGGTCAAACATTCCTTCTTAGCAACACGCTGCCTCACACTCACTAACATGTTGAAGCTTCCTAATACAACTACAATCTGATACCAGTGGCCAATGATCAGCTGTTCTGGTGATAGCGTTTAACTGCAATGCTCATGGGTATGGGAACAAATTATGGTAACAGAAATGTACCTCTGTAACCCTTAGGCCACTGCTTTCTCTGCATAAAAATAGTCAATTCTGTTTTAAGTTTGAATTTAAAGTTGTATCAATCAGAATTTCTATACTCACAATGTATCAGATGAGTAATGCATCATGTTCAATGTGAGAGAAGGCAATTGTAGTGAGAATTATCACCCAACTCTGCAATTCCCCTCTGCTTTTATTTTGGTTTTACAGCCTGCAACTTTACTGCTGTGGTTCAGTAAAAAGCCTCTAATAAATCAACAGTACACTACCTCCACAACACCAAGTGGCAAACAGACCAAATAAACCACTAGCAATTAGCAAGCATTTAGCAGCTGTAGATCCACATATTTTTGTTTGGCAAAGACCAAAATGGAGCTTAAAGGAAAGTGACTGCATTAATACAGGTTTAAGGACACAACATTCACTTGCTACTACTCTACATGACTGATAACAATGATTATCCAGGTGCCTACAATCATTATTCAGCACTAACCTGTCAATGGCGATAGCTCCAAGGGTGAGCATGCTGGCAGAGCTGATGAGCAGGTAGAGCAGGGCAGTGAAGTTGCACCACACCACCCCAAACACCCACTCTCTCTTTGCTGAGCTCACGGCCACGAACGGCAGCACCAGCATTGACAGCAGCAGATTGGACAGGGTCAGGCTGAACACAAACTTGTTGCTGGGTGTGAGCAGATAAGGCCTGCGATAGAGCGTGGCCACAATCAAGAGGTTCCCCAGGCAGGCGAGGAGCGTGATGGTCACAATGGAGACTGACTCCAGGGCAGCCAGACCCTCACCATTCCCCACCACGGTGCAGTTCCTACTGGTGTTCATGGTGAGAGACTGGGCCACTGGACAGGTGAAGGAATGGTAGGCGACTGCTAAGGAGCAAGACATGGTTAGAAAAAAAAAATGATGAAAGGATATACATTTAGCACTGCTAAAATTTCTGTTAAAATGGTGGTGGTGGGCAGGGGGGCAACAATATGCAGAAAACACTGGTATAGTCCTTTAATGCATGTCTGTGGATTATCTGTCAGATTTATAAACAAAACATAGATTAGTTTATGACCCATTAGTATAAATTAAATTACCCACACCATAAAGTTGTTTAAATCATCTCTAACTAGAAACTTAAAATAATCAAGTTATTGTTTTTTTATTGACTCAACAATTAATCAATAATTAAAATATGTTGATCAGCTGTCATTTAATCGACAAATTGTTTCAACTCTAATAATATGTTATATCAATGACAACAGGAGATAATATTTCTGTACTTAGTCAGATTTTGAATGCTGGACTTTTGCTTGTATTTTAGCTTTTTACATTGTTGTATTGCTACTTTAATTTAGTAAAGGATCTGACTGTACTCCTCCTGGCACTGGTTTTAATTTTCTCCATCCTCTTAAGTTAAGCAGAGGACATGTAACAGGGTCATTACTTATTCACAAGCTTTACACCTCAATTTAAGCGCCTGGAGGCTGAAAATCCTCACTAATAAATCGCCTGTGATCGGTGAAAATGTGTCTAAACCCTCTAAGGCTAGCCTCTTTAGTTAACATTATTTTTGCTGCATATCTGTTGCCATCTCTCAGCACGGTTAAAATTAACTTTTTAGAGTGAGTAGGTAGCAATAAAAGTGAACTTCAAAACACAGTCTATAGCGACATCTTAGCTTTTTGTACAGCTCACTGCCGATAATACAAACTTTATAAAAGTGTAATTACGCTGCCGCACTGACTACCGCTCGCTAGCAGTAACGCTAGCTAAAACAACAACCGTTAGTTAGCCTTGGTTAGCTAAAACTTTCTCCCATTGTCCCCCCCGAAACACAGCCACTTATCCCTCCTTACCTGCTTTGGCTCGGCTCCGTGGCTCCACATTTTCTCATCCGCGGTGACAAAACGTCCATCTTACTTGTCTGTTTTCAAACTCTGATCCAATAACTGTGATCTAAGCCTGAGAAATCTCTTGAAAGACCTCCCCTGACATCGTGAAGTTTAGTAACGTTTGAGCCGAATCACAGACGGCCAGCTGCGGCTGCAATGGCGTCCTCCTCCCACCTCCGCTTCAGCCCCGTCTCCCAGCAGACTCCTCCAGCGTGTGGGTGGTCGCCGAGCGGAGCTGCCTTGTTTTCACATCGGCATTGTGACTGTGATTTCGAGTGTAGCATGTAATGGCAGTGCACGTAATGTGTGTGCTTTTTCATCATCATTACACTGGATGGGCTGAAAAACCTTACAATACATTTTATCCAACTTCGGGTGCAACATGCAGTGTAGGCGTCTGTACTCATGTTTACAAAAACTAGCTCAATGCATGCATGTGTATTTATTTAATACAAAGCTGATCGGTTTTGTGAATGAAGCATCATGTTTATCCGGCTGGACCACCCACATGGATCAAAGCTTCCCGCACATAAGCGTCATCTTCCGTTATCCAATGGGAACCGGGACGGTACCGACTCTGCCCGTTTGATGGCACAGTTTGCCTGCATGTGACACCATGAAACAAACTGTGCTGAGGTCTAAAGGGGATAAATAGTAGCATGAATATTTTAGTGGTCCTCAATGCACTGCAATAAAAAAAATGCAAATAGAAGAAAAATCACAAAAAAATGAAGTTCACCGATTTGACAGTACGTGTGCAGCATTAAGAAAAACACCCAGTTGGCAGTTTATTGGGCACATAGGCCTACAGCTAAAAATCATGAGGTCTAACACAGATGTCCTGCAATAAATCCCACCCATCAAGGTCAAAATGTTCCGTTTTTACTGAGATTTTAGAGATATGTTCATTTAACTGTATGATCATTACAGCGGCTGTAGTTTGTGGTGTTACTGCCCTCATTGATATAAATGGAGTGGAGAAAATAAAAACACCTCTCCAAGTTTCAGTATTTGACTGCGTTTTCTGTATTTGGTTGTGTTTTTTGTGTTTTCTTTAGTTTTCTGTTCTTGATTGTGTTTCTGTATTTGTTTGCATTTTCTCACTTTTCAGCATTTTTGTCAAATTGGTGAATGTTTTCTTAATTTGCTTGTGTTTTGTCCGTTTCCATGTTTTCATAAGTAGAAGTTTGTTGAGTGTAGAATATGAAAGTAACCATCAAAGTCCCAACACTGCAACAAAGATGATTGATTTTTTTATTATTATTTTCTCCTGATTAATAAACTGATTGTTTGGTTTGTAAAATATCAGGAAATGGTGAAAAATCCTCATTACAATTATCCAGAGTCCAAAGTGACAACTTCACAATGCTTGTTTTGTCCAACCAAAGGTCCAAACCTAAAAATTATTAAAAGCCAATTAAATTATTAAAAGGAAAAACAGAAAATCCTCATGTTTGAGAACAAGAAAAAATACCTAAATGATTATCAAAGTAGTTGCCAGTCCACTTTCTGCATATTAATTGATTCATGTATACTTTTGTTAACTGTTGAGTGGTTTAATCTAGTGTTTTACTGATGTAGAATTAAGTGTGTATAACCAGATTAAAAAGCAGGGACAGACCACCCTAAATGACTTGTTCCAGACTATGGACTGAAATGATGTATCACCTGTGATACCTTTATCATAGCAGTTTGTGAACTACAATTTGATTCCATCGTTGTTCCATCATTTCTGAATCACAGGCTCTTAAGGGACACAACCCAGAGGCAGCTTTTCAAATGCAGTGAGCATGATGTAAACAGTACATGTATACAGTCATACTTAAAAAATTACATAAAAAACATGTGTAACCATATGACAAAGAATCAATCCTCTAACACAATGTTCATTTTGCTTTAAGATATCTACAACACCAATGTATGTGTCCCTTATTAAGCCCATTTGCTAAGTGTAAATATTTTACATTTTTGCCAACCCTAGTTTAAAGTTTTGTAACAATCCATGGTTACACAACAACAACTGCACAGAAAATGCAGTAGTGATCATGCGATGTCCTTTTATGAAGGGGGGGGGGGTCCAAAAAACTCCACTGTAATTGTCATAAATAAGCTAAAACACGTAGTAAAAAAACTGTATATGGGTATGGTCAGCTTGGGCTGATTTCTCATACAAGTTGTTGGAGAATGTTGTAAAGTCAATAAGATGTTAAACAAGATGAAGAAAGGATCAGTAATATTTTCCTTTTCAGTGACACACATCTAACGAAGCCATTTCCACTGTAAACCTCATGCTCGCCACAGTCCTCGCTCTCAATCACAGTAAATGTAGAATGTAAACAGATAACTTCGCATGGCAACAGTCTCCTACTGTGAAACAAGGAAAACAATGCCATCTGTGCTCTAAGTGAGAAAGTGAATTAAACTATGTAAACAGTTACTTTGGGGTAACCCATCTAGTCTTGTGGTGGTGCTATAAATGGGTGAAATCAGCCCCTACTGCAGCCTGTACCCTGTAGTCTGACTGTGACATTATGTGACAGTATGTAATGACAACACAAGTAAAACGCCTCCTTAAGACCTGAAATTAAAACTTTAGCATGGGGGTCTGTGGAGTGTAATCAGTCAGAAGAGAGACCATCAGACCCTGAAAGAGAGGAGAGATGTGCTGATTAATACCCTGTACATGATGGAGGCTAAGACCATTCTGACAGGATCAAAAGAAACAGTGTTTCATCTCACCATGATTGTCCACTTCCTATTCTCAGCCTCAGGGAAGACGAGGGAGCGGGAGGAGTAGAACACCTGGTCATCCACCTCCTCCATTTTACGGGGGAGACAATGCAGGAAGGTCCAGTCTGGTTTGGCCACACTTCCTGTCTGTAATGAACCAGAACCAAAATATGGAGTTGCTGGTGAATTTGTCTTAATTAAGTGTGTGGAAACACTTGGTGGCATAACACAAGAAGAAAAGAAACCAATGTGTAATCACTGTACATGCTCTACTGAGTCATTTTGGCTTTTATTCCCTTCAATTTTGTTTAGAATTGATTTTTAGTCATAGTGCCAGACATACTGCAATCTATCATTTTTATTGCCCAAAATAAGTACTGTGGATCTTCCATTTAATATCACCCTGTCAGTTTTGTGCATATAATAATGTAGTGTACAAAGCATCTTATAAAAGTGCATCTAGTTTTATTTTAACCTGGCTTCCTTATTTATATGTTGGATGAAGTCTGCAATTAGTGTTAAGACTAGTTTACCATACAGGCAGTTTGCAGAAGGTTAAATGCTTCACCTTCACTTAAAGCCAGTGTATAATAATACTATAATAAGATCCTTCTTTACCTGCATTGTGATCTGGTAACCATGAAAGTCTTTGAGCCTCTTTTTCTTCTCCTCCTCCTGTCCCATGCTGACCCAGGTGTCAGTGACTAAGACATTGCTGCCATGGGCGGCCTCCATCGGGTCAGAGGTCAGAACAAGCTGAGTTCCATACTGAGAAAAAATGCAATGCCATATTTAAGTCCTTTGACCACAGGTCGGTTTGTGATAATGCCACCTGAAGAGGATCTCACCTCTTTGGAAAGTCTCTGTGCCTCCTGAATAACGCTCTTCTCTGGCTCATACCCCTGCGAATGAAGATAAAGTTTTAGCTTAGTTTCTCATTAGGAATACTGATGCACATTACACTACAGAACCACAAGTTTCTCAAGCATCTCCTCTAACAAGACTGCAGAGGTGAGACGCCCACGTGCACACGAGTGTAAAAAGAGGCAAACCTTTGGTGTAGCAATCTTCAGGTGAACTCCCAATTTGGCTGCAGTCATCATGAAGGAGTGGAGGACGTTGTTGCCATCTCCAATCCAGCTCACTGTTAATCCACTAAGGGACCCATAATGCTCCTGGAAGAGAATGCTAGTAATTCAGAAAACACCATGTCATTATCATTTGCTGGATAAAAATTCTAGGAAACTGAAGGGTTGCAATACCTGTAAAGTGAGGAAATCAGCCAGAATCTGGATTGGATGGTAGAGGTCAGACAGACCGTTGATGATGGGGATGGAGGCCTCCTTATCCAGCTCCTCCAGCGTGGAGTGGCTGTACACTCGTGCCAAGACAATATCACAGAGTCCTGAGAGAACCCTGTGGAGGAAGAGATTACACGTACCCATAAGGCTGGAGTTCATAAACTGAATCAGGGGGGAATATCTGCTTGGAAAGACTGTCATTTCCCTTCAAAAATTACTGCAGCAGTGAACAGTGCCAGAAGCTTGTTGTCGACCTAAAAAGCTCATCGGTATGTCTATGGGTAAAAGACATTTGTTCAAATTTCCTTGGACAAACAAAGATTTGTCCGAGACAGTTTATGTACAGCAGGTATCCAAAAACTGGACTGGTCATTGCTATATGTTACATACTGTATTTCTCTAAGTGAAATCATAATTATAAGACTCACCTAGCTGTGTCTGTGCTGCTCTCATTCACTCCCAGGTGGATGTCCTGGGAGGTGAGGAAACAGGGGTGTCCACCCAGCAAAGCAAAACCTGGAATTATGATATTAAGGCAACTTTAATTCCCCTAAATGCAAAGCAATGCTTGAAAAAGGCATAACTATTTAAATCAAATAAGCATTCAGCAATGCAAAATGATGAGAGGGTGACAGTGCAGGGGAAAAGAGGAGTAAAAGACGAGCTGTTCAGAGGCAGAGTGCTTTGTTCCAGGGATGCACTCAGAGTTGCCTTTCAGCAGTTCTTTTGTGTCTATATTAACAATGACTTTCAGGAGTGGTATCAGCCGAGCTAACAGTATGAGGATACATTTTTATGGGAGTACTATGTAAATGTAATAATGGAGCCCCCCCATGTTTGTGTAAACTTATAACACTTGGAAACTGACTTGTGTCTTTATACATTTTGCCTGCAGTGACCGACCTCCATTATTATCCATGTTAATGTCTAACTGAGCCGCATGGCACACACCAGTGTAGATGTATATATGTAAAACTAACACCTGTCTCCGTGGACATTCTTGTTCTGGTGCTCCTCTTCTCAAATATCATCGCAATCGACTTTCCTTGCAGGAGAGGAAGATACTGAAATAGACATGATAGTTAGTTTCCTTAACTGGTCCACAAAGAGGCTGCACATTCAAGCTGAAGACAAAACAAATGGACACTGAGCTTAGCATTACATAGCTAAAGTAAAATACCTGTTTTTCATGCTTGATCCGATGTTTTAGATCCCCCGACACCCACAACAGCCTCTTGATTTCATCTGAGCTGAAATCTTTCAACGTGAGACAACTGCGACCCTTTAAACTCACAGGGCCAAGGGAAGCAGCTCCAATGCTGAAAATATGAATAACCGAAGGCATAATGGAAACAGTATTATGACGTGATTTCATTGCTGACAGAAGTTGACCACTCATGCTAATAATGAAATGAAGTTCTGTGGAGTTTCTTACCTAAACCATCGTGTCGAGCGGTTGTGTAAAGTTTTCAAACATTTGAAAACTGGCCTGTTTGCAGATAATAGTTTAGCAAACATTGCACCTCAAAATGGAAATCCAATGGAAGGGTAATGTGTAAATATTTCATCAGAGAGAAAACAACTTTCCCTCGCTGCCACCCAGTCCCACCTTAAACATATGGAGCCGGGAGCGTACAGGCCAACCAACCGGCAGCGTGGCTGCAGCTGACATCACCGCAGGACGCGGAAGCGAGGCGTGGCTTCACTCATGGGCTTCATTCAGTACTAGCTACGTGTTTGTTTGTTTTGGTTATAAACTTTTTACCATTTGGGATTTTTAATTAGAGTAAAACAGAATGCGTAAAACCAGTAACACCTAGAAATGCGGTTGCTAGGGAACAAATACAGCAAGCACTCATGAAACAGTTTCGGTCACATAGCAATCCCTCGGCAAACAATCGTTTGTACCTGTTATCCAGCAGATAGTTACATCTTTAAATTGGATTTCTTAATCTCACAGAAGTAACCAGTATTTTCGTGATAAAATGTTTGCGAAACTAACGTTTGAATCCATTATTTCCACAGACTAGCTCTACCATAAACTGTAAATAAAGACTGCTGTACTCTGTCTGGAAGGGCAAGCACGGCCATGTACTTTGTGGAAATGTTGGATTTAAACGTTGTTTTCGCCCCCGGGTAGTGATTTTATCATACGGGGCGGATAGTTAAGCAAACAACATGCCGCTGGAAAATAGGTAAAATAGTAACAATCCTCTTTCTTATGGTTTGCGAATGGGACTTTTAAACGAGCAATCACAACAGTGATAATGTCGCATTCAGGTTATGCCGTTTAAAAGAACTACGGACACTGGCTGTGAATGTAAAATAAAAAATATTAACACTAATACAACAGATGCCGCTAATTTCATAGGATCTACACATTGTTTGTTTGTATCTGGGTTCACTTACAAATACGCAACACGACAAAAGTAGCCAGTTTAGGCTGTTTATTAGCACTAGGGTTAACCACGTGGGAATAATGACCGAACGCTGTAAAGTGCTGTTTTTCCCATTCTGCCGCATTGCGTGAACGCAGCATAAGGTCATAAACGGGCTCTATTACGGTGAACCTCTAGGCGCATTGATAAACTTGTAAAACGGTCAGAGATAAACGCTTAGATATTTAACGGTTGCCTTTGACTATTAGGAACTTGAAATCATGCTTTTAAGAACATGTTTTGTTTTCCCTCTAATGTGTTTTGTTATTCCAAACTAATTACGCAATCAAAATGCTTGTCTGCCCACTAGATACACCTGAAAGCCAAGATATAAATATTTGTCACCTGTAATTGCTTCATAGTTAGAATAGGGACAGCTAGCTTAGCAACTCCTTTACCAGGTCCTGCCCCTCCCTGACTTGTACTTGATCTGCCGGTGTGTCAGCATCGAGCTACACGGCAAAGGTGAGGAGGTGGGTGTGAGGGGGATAGCGGTGGAGATGACGGGACAGACCGATGTGGATATACCCGGTGAGTGTACTTTCTACACATTGTAATAGGCGATATAGCCTTCAGCTTTATGTATGGTCCTTTTAACCTTCCCATTCAACTAATGGTATGTGTGTGTATGGTAAACCTGTTGCTATTTCTGTCAGGCTGACAGCAGGTTGGGTTGGGATTTAGCCGGTGTTAAACCAGAGAGCAGTAAGTTAGAGTTGCCTTGCCTGCATCGTGTATTACTCATGTGAAGACTGTTTCAACATGCATCCATCGTTTCTCATCAGAAACAGGAGCCCTCTTCACATTTGGAAAGAGCAGCTTTGCAAACAACGTGCCCGGTATATTCTGGGTGAAGAATGACCACCCAGTGCATATATCCTGTGGCTCTGAGCATACTGCTGTTATCACAGGTACACACACTACACTATATGCATAATTCTTACCATACTCACTATTGGAATAAGTCTAATTTTTTCTGCAGCCAAGTCACACTTCCATGTCTGTAAATGATTGTGCAGGAAATGGGAGGCTGCTCATGTTTGGTGCTAATACCTGGGGCCAACTCGGGCTGGGATTCAAGCCAGCTGCCAGTAAACCTGCCTCTGTGAAAGGTACTCTACATCAGAGCTTTGACGAATAACTAGTAGTATTAGTATGAGTATTGATTATTATGTTGAATATTTTCTGAATTAATTCTTCAATTATCTGGTCAGATAAAACAGTGAAAATGCCCAAGCTGAGATTTGTAAATCCTTTGTTTTGCCTGACCAACAGTCCAACAATATGCAGTTTACCTATGACAAAAGCAGCAAAACTTTACAACAGGCCACCTGAAATCTGGTATTTGGTATTTTTAGCTGAGATAAATGAGTGAAACAGTGAATCAGTTATCAAAATATTTGGTGATGAATTTGTTGTCATTTGATTGATAAATGAATTGACTAATTACTGTTTTTTTTGTAATAACAGTAACCCTGTATTTCCTTTTTTTAGCCTTAAAGTCTGAGAAGGTGAAGCTTGTAGCTTGTGGGAGAGATCACACAATTGTCTGCACATGTGAGATGACAAACAATATTTATGTGACAGATGTTTCTGTGGACACAGAACAGTGGTGTCCAGTGGTTGATCTTGTATTGAACTACGTTTTGTATATTTTTAGGGCAGGGTAGTGTGTATGGTGCTGGCAGAAACCAGGAGGGGCAGCTTGGTTTGGGCCACTGCAACAACACTACATCCTTTCACCTGCTACATCCCTTCTGTGACCATGCACCAATCAGCATGCTTTCTGCAGGGTGCAACACCTCCGCTGCCTTAACAGGTTCAAACAGTCACAAGTAATAATGTAATAAGTGTCTCTGTGGTCTAAGGTGCAAACTGTGTGTGTGTGTGTGTGTGTGTGTGTGTGTGTGTGTGTGTGTTTCATAATCCTGTTTCTGTGTGTTGGTTAGAGGATGGGAGGCTGTTCATGTGGGGAGACAACTCTGTGGGTCAGATTGGTTTAGGGGACGAGGGATTTGCAGCAGAACCCAGAGAGGTGAATGTTGGAGAAGCGGTGATATGGGTCTCCTGTGGGTACCACCACTCAGCATTTGTTACAGGTACAACACAGTCCAATCAAACACAGCTCATGACTCACTCTTCAGTTAAATATTTTATTCTGTCAAACAATTTCTGAAACACATGCAAAACAATTAGAAGGAAGAGGCTGTTAGACCTTCAGACAGCCACAGTACAAAGAAATGGTCAGCTTACCTTGACAAATGCACTTGCACTTTCACAATTTTTGAAATAATGTACCTTTTTAACGTAATGTGCCCCTGTGGTGTTGGATATTGTTGCACAACTACAGGTGGATCCTTGCGTATTTTGGTCTTTGTTATATTTGTATTTTTATATTTGCATGGTGAATTGTTTGTGTGTACTTGTATTTGCAAATTAGCTCACTTCAAGTAAGGATGAATAATTAATGCAAAATAATACGTAGCCTTCAGATATCTTTAACATGATTCATTGTGGTGAGAATATTGTGTTGGCTTTTAGTGGATGGAGATCTCTACACGTTTGGTGAGAGTGCAAATGGTCGGCTTGGTCTCCAGGCAGAGCAGCTTGCCAACCACAGAGTCCCTCAGCGGGTGCAAGGGATTCTGGGTCGTGTCACCCAGGTGTCCTGTGGAGGGGAGCACACTGTGGCACTTACAGGTAGGTTAACAATATAAAGCCTATGTTCCAGAAAAAGGCACTATCACACAAATATCTCACCTGTTAATCAGTGGTGGAAGAAGAATTGAGATCTTTTACTTAAGTTAAAGTAGTGATACCACAAAGTAGATACTCCATTATAAATAAAACTCCAGCATTTAAAGTTTTATCAAAGAAAAAGCACATTATCACCTAAATGTGATTTAAAATACTGTTTTACATGATGATCATATTGTGTTTACTATCATGTATTCTGTTCATTACTGTCAGTAATTAGTTACTGTCTAATCAGTAAAGTCTGTTTCTCTGTGTATGTTTTGCTGTGCCAGAGGAGAACGTGTACACATTTGGCAGGGGTCAGCACGGTCAGCTGGGCCATGGGACATTTCTGTTTGAAGTTGATTTGCCAAAACCGCTGGAGCACTTTTCTAACAGCAGCATCAGACACATCGTCTGTGGAGAAAACCACACTGTTGTGATAACAAGTAAGCTATCTCTGAAGATTACTCCAGTCATTGCAAGAGTATTTATGTAGTAGTATGTTCACCATTGTGGTTGTTCATGCATGTTTTGTATACTATACATAGCAAACACACCAAAAAGTCATTGAAGGCATATGTTTTTTCAAGGCTACTGAATAATGTGTTTTTTTTTTTTTGAATGGGGCTGCTGATTCAGTTACAGCCTTTTATCTTGTACATAGTTTCAGATCTTAAAAACACCACCCAGTCTGCCTTGCTACATTCTTGGCCAGTCAAAGAAACACATACAATAGTCACACAGCAGTTTAGGACTGAATCTACTTCTCTGTTCTCTTGTTTGGATGATATCTGTATGTTTTTTTTTTTTTTGGTTAATCAGTCAATTGTTTTGCTTTATAAGCTGCAAGAAAATAGTGAGAAAATGGCAAACAAATTCCCAGAGCCAACGGCGTGGCCTTTTTTTTTGTTTTGGTATTTTGTTTTGACAACAAATAATGAAAAGCAGCATATCTTTTCATTTTAGAAACTAAAACCAGCATGTTTGACATTTTTGCCCGATAAATTGCTTAAACAATTAATAATTTATCAAAAATCTTTGTTAATTTTCAGTTAACTAATTCATTAAGCCGCTTACCATTTCAGCACTACAACAGTTACATGACGATTACACCCAAGTGGTGCAACTTTAAAACCTTATTCAATGTATTTTTCCTCCTCCGCAGACAGTGGGCTGCTCTACACGTTTGGTGATGGTCGTCATGGGAAACTGGGGTTAGGGGAGGAGAACTTCATCAACCAGTTCAGCCCAACACTTAACACACGGTTTCTCAAGTACAAAGTTCAGTTAGTAAGTGAATGTGATGAAGGGGGTTAAGGCCGGCACAGCAGGTTGTCCAATAGTCACGTGGTTTCATGCCTAGCTCCACCTTTGTGCATGTCAAATATCCTTTAGCAAAACAATAAACCCCCAAACTCTTCAGCTTAAGTTGCTGTATATGTGCAGTCCACCTCCTAAGTGGTATGTCCCGTATGTTTGAAAGTAAATAAGTATAAATGGGTGGGAGAGTAGATTAGAGGTAATACATAGTGCACAATAATTAACTGTAATGAGTGTGTTTTTTGATGTTTTCCTATGTTCAGGTGTCCTGTGGAAGTAACCACATGCTGGTCCTGGCTGAACCTAGACCACCAGAGAGCCCAGACGTGGTGCCAGAGAAGGATATCACAATCAGTGACAACTTTTTGGAGTCAAGCCACACAGAAATTCTCAACCTGTTCGACAGGTTGATTGATCCAACTGCACTTGTCCCACTCTCAGCCCTCGCTGCTCGAGCCCGGCACAGAGAAAAAGTAAGAACCTGCTCCTTTGAGTCTTATCTTCCAAACATAACCAGGTTCTTATAAGTCTTCCAGAACTAAATAGTCATTAACTTAAAATGTTAGCAGCTGTGTACATGGTCGAACTTCAGAGTATCTGCAGGTCTCAGTAAGCAGGCAGCGGTTTGGAGAAGTTACAAACCTATAAACTAAAAGTAGGATTGTTGCAACAATGGATTGTGTGTGCAGGAGGTTGTTTGAACTTGTGGAGTTTCAGTCTGAACCATTAGACCTCGCAAAAACCTAAATATACTAACAATTATTATCATCATCAGTCTGCTGATTAAATTCTTGATTAATAAATTAGTCTACAAAAAATGTACAGTGTATATATGTATATCCTACAGCACAAGGTGACATCTTCAAATGTCTTGTTTAGTTCAACTAAAAGTGCAATACCCCCAAATAGTTCTTGGTTATTTTTATTTTGATTTACCTTATTGATTAATTGACTAATAGGTGCAACTTTGAAATGTACTAGCTGGCTAACCCTTCCATCCATTTTATGCCACTTATCCGTGTCCAGATCACTTTAATTTAATTAATTATATCATTGGCAATTATTATTATATGTTGCTGTGAAGCACTGATATAATATTGCCCCCCACTAGTTTTCCATCACACTTTCATACTTTGGCTGATATGATTGTGAGACAGGTATTAAATTGTCTTCCATGTGGTATTAAAAGGTCTTGAAGAGTCTTAAATTTAACTTGAACCATGCACATCGTCTTAGCGTCAGACAGTTGTAATCAGTGTTTAACTCCAGTAGGGAGCAGTGTTGCACCAACAAGTGGCTTAACTGTAGTGCCACTATGTAACTGGTTGGGCTCCATAGATGTGATTTAAACCTCATTCTCAGTAATGTTTTTGCTGTTGTCTTTCAGGAAAGCTCTGTGGAGCTGTTTGGGGAGACGTTTCAGAACCTCCCACGTCTAAATTCTGGCTTCCTCAACACCTCCTGGCAAATGTCTAGAAATATCCTAACCCCCAAAACACTTTCAAAGGACATTACTACCCCTTCATCATCTCCCAAACCCCTATCAGAGATAACACCAAGCCCACTGTTCTCACCCAGATCTCTGTGCAAATCCCCTCAGAGTCCATTTTTGTCCTCCAAGCCATCAAGCCCACATTCTCAATCATCAGACAACTTTCAGAACAAAGCCTCCAGCATTACCTCCTCTAAGTCTCAATCCAAAGAGGTGCCCTTGTCTTTACTATCGCCAAAATCTAAAACTAAACGTAACGCAAACATCCCAGTCTCCCCAAAAAAGACTGCAAAAAATAGATTACAACATGTGGCAACTGCTGAAAAGGCCTTAATTGAAAAATTGTCATCTCCTGTACCACCTAAAGAGCCCTGTAGCCCCACTAGACCCCCCACTTACTTTCTCAGTGAACATCTCAGAGAGAACGAGCATCCTGCCTCAGCAAAAACAGGTATGTTGATTACTTTCCTGGAGTGTCTGTTGTAGCCAGTGCTGAGCTGAGTTTATCTTGGAAATCCTCGAAAAAAATCAATCAAAAAGACAGATATTGTTGTGTACAGCAGTTTAACCAACTCCTGTCTGTTCTTTCAGAGGGAGAAACTGTGCAGAGGCAGATGATCACCCAAGATGTGGAGGAGAAAGAAGTCGACTCTGACTTTTTGCCAAATAAGGTGAGAGAAAAAGTAAATTTTAAAAGCTCCCTGTGCAGTGATTTGACTTTGATAGAAGACAGAAATACTGCACTATATTGTCCATAGACTCATAAACATAGAGTCAGTTAGATGTTATTTTCCTCTTTAGGCTTCTTGGCTGCGGTCTAGATTATGTGTACTCCAGGGCAGGAAGCAGCAATGTTGAGCACTCGCTGACTTTTCCAGGAAATGTGCATAGCTCAGCATACATACTGCATGTGTGTGTGTGGAGAAGTTTTCCACTTAGTATAACACTGAGGTAAAATATGAAGTGGAATTTGGTGTTTTGTTCTCTCATTTTTTCACACTGATTTGCCCCCCCCCCAATAATGTCTGTAAGGAATCTCCTCTAAGCAGATTGAGATATTTGGATTGTTTCTGCTAATACACAAATGTGTTTGTGCTCCACCCTCAGATGTACAAACATGCACACACATACACATATGCAATGCTTTGGAAAAGTTGGCCGGAAACTTGCCACATCTCATCAGTGTTTCCACAGCCAAGGATGAAGCAAGCTGTGAAGCAGTCTCCTACGTTGAAGTGTGTCATAGCACAATATGTGGTGCTCAGTAACTCATTCCTGCCCTAGTTGTAGTGTTGTATGTGCGTTTGTGTGCAGTGGTGGAAGATATATTCAGGGCCTTTACGTAAATGTACTTAGTATTTATTTTCCACCGCTTTCACGTGTTTGCTTCCATGTGTGGGGGCATTAATGCGTCACAGAGAATAATCTACAGGTACGATTGAACGCCTTATGGTGCATGAAAGGGTGCCGCGACAGTGATTAAATAACACCCGACTGACCTCCAATTAACCAGTCTATTTTTCTCTAGTGCAAATGGAAAAAATAAGGATTTCCTGATTATTTCTCCACCATCACCATGGTTTTCTCCCACCCACATCTGTATTTAAATCCGATGACAGATTTGTTGATGACTGATTTGCTACGTGTGCCCACCATGCATATGTCCAATGATACTCTTGGTATTACCGTCAACATCTACCCATACCCCATAAAAAGCCATCGTTTTCCATATGCTTCAAGATATTTTTCTGTTTCAAATTATACTCTGCAAAAATGTATCAAATGTATTTGTTGTTGCATAAATACTGAAGGATATTTACAGTTATATTCAAAAGATCTTTTTAACCATTGTTTGTGGATTAGATCTATACCTGAAAAAACTACTTAAACATAGATGTATCTCATAATAGTTTTATTCTCTTAATGTACTATAAGATGAAATTTGGCAGTAAAACACATACAACACTAAATGCCATAATTACATATGCAGTCATATTGATTGCAGGTCTGCTGCTGTGCTTGTACAACCTCTCTTTCTTATTATTGTTTGGCGTATGACCTTTTTCTGCCGGTTTTTATTTTTATTTTTACATCTTACTACATCCCTATTTTCTCTTTGATTTATTCCAGGAACAGAAAAAGGGCCGAGCTCTTAGAAGAGCTAAAGAAGAGGCCAAGGCATTTGCCGAACAGCTCCAGTCTAACGGGAAGACAGACCATAATTCTCACAAGGCCTTACCCACAGAGTTCCTGAAAGGGTCTAGGTCCTCAAAGAAAGAAGTGTCTGCATTGAAGGGCACAAAGAAAAACCCAAAGATCACATCCAAAGGAAAAGAGAACATTACCAAGCAGTCCAGTAAAATCATAACTCAAGAAGACAAACACGTTCAAAAGGAGCTGTCCCATTTTAAATCACCAAAACATGACAAGAGCAAACTATCAGAGCTGAGCCCACAAACTCCACAATCTGTTTGGAAGACACTGACCGGAGCACAACAGAGACTGACTGAAGTGAAGAAAAAAGACAGGAAAAATAGAAATTTGCAAGAAGGTAATACAAATCAAGAGGATGTGAAAGACAGCTCTTTAAATAAAGATTTGATAGGCACACCAAAAAGGGAGGAAACTAAATCATCGACCTTGAACAAGACATCTCCTGTTTTTAAGGCCACGAAAGGAAATGAAATAACCAGCTTATCTGTCCAAAGTGGAAGTTCAACATCCGCAGAAAATGCTGCAGAGGAAGACACCAATCATTCACAAATCCAGGTTAAAAAAGCAGACGTTAAATCGACTTCAGCAAAAGATCTGCACAAGGTTAAATCTGCACCAGGAAAAGGTCAAACTAAAACGCTAAATGTTAAATCATCACACGTGAAAAAAGAAAGCACACCTGTCATACCGCCTGCTCAAGCTGAAACTACGAAATCCCTAAGTGTGATATCTACACCTGTGAAAGTCAAAGGGAAGACACAACAGGTCAAATCCACACCAGTCAAAGATCAAAGTGAACATACCCCAGTTAAAAGTAGAGGCAAAGGAAAAGGAGCAAACATTGAGTTAAACACAGTTAAAAAAACGAGAGGTACACCTGCAGATCAGCAGAAGTTACCTGATGACAGTGAAAAAGTAAAGGACAAAAAGAAAGCAAAGGAATCTAAACTGAAGGCAAAGACAAAGCCAGGGGGAGAAGAAGGAGAGATCAAAGTTAAAGGTGAAGCTGATGCAGACACTAAAGATAACACAAAAGCCAAGTCGCGGAGTAATAAGACTGAATCTCCACAGCAGGATACACCTATTGAAGTGCTGTGTAACCCAATTTCCTCACAAAGCCCTCAGAGAACAGAAGTTTCCGTAAGAGGTGCCAGATCCCTGCAAGGCTCTGAACCTGCTGATACGCATCTGCTTGTTTCTCAGAGAGACAAAGAGGAAACTCAGAGCATGACTGAGGAAGAACCAAGGTGGGGGGAAATACTGAGTAACGCAGCCTCTATTCTTCCCGCTGTTGGGATGGCAGGTGCAGCTTTGGGGGTTCTTAGTGAGGCAGTGACAAGTGTACAGGGTTTCCAGTCAGACGGTGACACAACTACCTCTACACCATCCAAAACATCCAGTCGAGCGAAGCAATTCATGAAGCAGAGTGCGATTATGCAGCCTTCTTTCTCCTCGACATTGTCACGTCTGTCTTCAACAGAATCATCAAATCCATTAGAAGAAAACTCAGAGAAAGATGCTCAAGTCAGTGTCCTATCAGAGTCTGAGAATGCAGTTCAGGAAGAAGAAAGTAATGACACCACTCAGTCAGAACAGGAGGCGGCAAAAAGTGACATGTCTGAGCAGGTCGAGGATGAGGACATTTCACAAACAGAGGGGGCAAACAGCGGCACAGACATGGAAATTTCACAGAAAGAACATGAAGAAGAGGAGGATGAAGATGAGAAAAGCTCCAAGGTCTCCAGTCAAGATGTGGGAGAAGAAACAGATACTGAAGATGAGGAGAAGAAGGGAGGTGGAGAAGGAGAGAGTGGAAGCGATGTGGAAGACAAAGAGGATGAAGAGGAGAGTGTTTCTGCAGAGGGTGAGGAAGAGCGAGATAATGAATCGGAGGAGGAAGAAGGTGAAGAGAAAACAAGCTCCAGCAGTGAGGAGGATGATGAAGGAAGTGAGAAGAGTGATGCTACAGAATCTGAAGGGGGAAAAGAAGAGGAAGAAGAAAGCAGTGAGGAGACAGGTGAAGGAGGGAGTGACTCTGAAGCAGCGGAGGAGGAGGAAGAGGGAAGTAAAAGTGAAGAGTCCAGTGAAGAAGAGAGTAAAGAGGAAGTGGATGAAAGTGAGGCGAGTGAGGATGAAGAGGATAAAAGTGAGGCGAGTGAGGATGAAGAGGATGAAAGTGGTGAAGAGTCGGGGAGTGCAGCTAGCAGCAAGAGCGAAGAGTCGGAAAAGGAGGAGGAGGATAGAGAGGGAAGTGACTCTGCAGAGTCTGCAAAAAGTGAAGAAGAGGAAGACAAAGAAGAAGAGGGTGAAACTGAGGATCAAAAAGATGATCAAGATTCTACTGAAAGTGAAGAGGATGAGGAGAAAGACTCAGACGAAGATGAAGAAACAAATGAGATTGAGGGAGAGGAAGATGATGATGAGAAACAGGATGAAGCAAGTGTTGAGAATGAGGAAGAGGAAGACAATGAGGCTGATCAAGAGGAGGAAGAGCAAGATGAAAAAAGCGACAAAGAAAATAAGGAGGAGGAAGAGGGTGAGGAAGAGGAGATGTTAAGTGAGGGGGAAAGTGAGAAAGATACAGAGGCAAAGGAGGATGAGGATGAGGGGCAAGCTGATGAAGACACTGCAGAGGAGGAAGAAAATGAGGGTGAGGAGGAGAATGATGAGGAGGAGGATGAGACGGTAGAGGAGGAAGAAAATGAGGGTGAGGAGGAAGGTGAGGAGGAGGAGGATGACACGGTAGAGGAGGAAGAAAATGAGGGTGAGGAGGAAGAGGAGGAGGAGGAGGAGGAGACGGTAGAGGAAGAAGAAAATGAGGGTGAGGAGGAGGAAGATGAGATCGCAGGGGAGGAAGAAAATGAGGGTGAGGAGGAAGAAGATGAGATCGCAGAGGAGGAAGAAAATGAGGGTGAGGAGGAGGAAGATGAGATCGCAGAGGAGGAAGAAAATGAGGGTGAGGAGGAGGAGGGAAAAGAGGAGGTTACAGGGGTAGAAGAAGAAGAGGGTGAGGAAGAAGTTGCAGAGGAGGAACAAGGTGAGTTGGAAGCGAGTGGAGGTGAGGAGAAAAGTATGGAAGCTAATGAGAAGACCGTGGTAGAGACTGAAGAGGAGGAAGGGGATGAGGAAGAAGAGGAGGAGGTGGGTGAGGAAGAGGAGGATGAAACAAAGATTAAACCGAAAACAGAGACAAGACTCAAAAATCAGAGAGAGGAGAGAACACTGGAACAAACTCAAGAAAAGAAACGTCTTGATTCTGAGGAAAATGAAGATGAGGGTGAGGAGGAGAGCAATGAAGCGGGAGAGGAGGCGGGTGAGGAGGAAGAAGAGGAAGCAGAGGACGATACAAAAGTGGAGGAGGAAGAGGAGGAAGAAGAAGAAGGAGCGGAGGAAGAGGAGGAAGGAGAGGAGGAGGAAGAAAAAGAAGGAGCGGAGGAAGAGGAGGAGGAAGAAGAAGAAGAGGGAGATGAAGAGGAAGAAGAGGAAAAAGTAAAATCAACAAAAACAAAGAAAGAGGACGCACAGAAACTTCCTCCTAAAGCTGCTCCCCCAGACAGAAAAGAGAGACAGCAGAGAGAAACACCCAAACCAGCACCGAGGACGAAGCAGAAAGCTGCAGGGGAGAAGAAACCAGATGAATCTCAGCAGTTCTGGAACAATGTACTGCCACAGTATCTGGACCTGCAATGACGTTACCACACATTGTGTAATTGAAAGGACAAACTGTCTCATTTGGCAAAAGTGTCACGCTATAAGAAAGAGCTGCACACTGAGTCAGACTCAAAGTGTCAGCTATGTTTAAGTACATTTTTCTTATTGTCAACAAAATGCATCGGTCTGTCTCTCCATACATTATGACTTCATTTTTGAACTTATCATTATGAAGTAAATGTTGACTGCGCTACATAATGGGAGAGGGGGTTAAATGACTGACAGGCCTGGAGCTCCGGTACTCGGAAGGGTTCAAGCCAGACACTCAGTTGGCATTATTTCCATTAAATCAGTAAGTAACAAACCCTGCCTACAACCGGGTGTTTTACTCTGCCTCTATCATAGCCCAAAGATTGGGGTTTCCAGATCAAATTGGGATGTTTTTACAGTTGTTTTTTGCTTTGGACAGTGGTCTGACAGCAGTAGCGATGTTGCAATCTGGTCTTTGCAGCCAAGCCCCCTTAGGGGGGCAGAAATACTTCTTGGAAACCACTTAAAAAAAAAAAAAAGGCCTCCCTGCTTGGTGCTGTATTATTCAAACTACAGACTATTTTCAGAGATGTTCAATTGTGGATGAATAGGCATTTGGGTTCTATTAAGTATTTACAGCAGCAGAGAGATGTATGTGGGACTGACTTAAACTTACAATAACTAGATTTTCTTTTGGCCATTTCAGCAGCAGTGGAAAGTTGTGAGCACAACATTGACATCAACATCTTCTAACTGGATTTGGTGAACTCAGCAAACAGTTGTGTATTTATTTACACATCCTTTATCACTTTATATTTGGCGTCATGTTTGTGGCCACCGGGCATGTAAGTCGTGCTCCTTTTAGCTCTGTTTTTGATCTCCAGCAACTCCTGAGGGAAATATCTGGCTCTTTAGCTGCTAAATGCTTCGCTATGTTCACCAGTTATTCACTAACTGTGTCCATCAGCTCTTGAAGACGACGCTAAGAGACCAGCAAGAGTGAACGAAAACAATGAGCTGAAACTTGCTATGAAGCTCCGTAAAGCTAATTGATAATCCTCTGTAGAGTCGTCATGACGAGTGACCTGTTTCAAGTTATCTCATTGTTTTCACACTGTCATTTTATACAGAGACTGTAGAGTTCTGGTAGACTCACCTCATTCTAACTCCATACCTGCAATTTATTTATTTATTTTTTCCAATTTTGAACTTGCATCCTCAGCCGACGTCAGACTTCACACAACTCCCGCTGGAGACACAATACAACTTGATTTTCATATATGTAGCAGTAATCCCACAGACCTGTAAACAGACTTTGATGTGTAAAATCAGCACAGTTCCCCTTCAGCAGACAACAACAGAGCTCCATGGCACAGAGAAATAAGCCATATCAGGCATTGGCTACGTAGGCAGTACTTGTGTTTGTTGACAGTAAGAAAAATACAGAATATCATAAAACATCCTGTAAAAAATATAAATATGTACAGTATATCATTGGTCATGCAACAACAAGAAGAATAACTGTATATGTTCTCATACATACTAAATACATTCATATTCCTTGTTTCTGCCTGGATATTGTTAAATCATCATCCATGGTTTAGATGATTTTACACCTTTGAGACCTCAGAGTGAACCATAGGTGGCGAATGTTCATATTGTACATGCCGCACCAAAATCACACCCCACTAATGTGTCTGTGCTATTCACTCCCTTCATAGTGAGAAAATGCCTGCAGTAATTACATGCTTTATAAGAGAACTGTATGTACGGTAGCATCAAAAACAATGCTTTCAAAATGCTTAAACCTTAAAAGATTCTTCAAATCACAGACAATGAGAACACCAGCTCAGTGGAGATCCGTGTAAACACCAGTTAAACACAACAAAACAAAATCCAGAGTCGATCTTAATCCAAAATCATTGCCTGTAACACCTCATCAAGGTGTCAGACCAATCCCTCAGAGCCAAGTGAGTAAAGATGGAGTCAGTTAACCCTTTCTTCACCCGACCTGAGAGGGACATTTCAGCTTATGCAGGCGTAACAGTTGGCTGAACCCCACATGTAATTACAGCTCAGGAGATCCTCTAGCACTCACATCACCACACGCCTCCCTTTCCTGTTTCCCGTCAAGACAAGGAACACTTCAACAACTTCATGTGTTGACTCGCCCCCTCAACGCACACACACACACACGCGCACACACACACACACACACACACACACACCCACACACACACACACACACACACACACACACCCACACACACACACACACACACACACACACACCCACACACACACACACACACACACACACACACCCACACACACACACACACACACACACACACACCCACACACACACACACACACACACACACACACTCACTCTACGCAGGGTCTTTAACCCAACCTTGTGCTTGTGGAGGAGAAAATTAAACAGTGGTTAGTCTTTCAACAGCTCTGTACTTTCACCAAGCTTTCCCGCTGTGCATTCTTTTGTATGTGCAGAAATAAAATAATAATGAGCTACAGAAGGCTGCCATATAAATATCAAGCCAGTATGGTTACTATAGGGCAGTGAATCAGAAAAGCGTTGCCAGGAAACAATTTGGATCAAGCATGACTTCATGTAAGATCTTCACATCATTAGCAAACAGCAAAGCAGGGAGTAAACTTAGTACCAAATGTTTGAAACTGAAAAATCTTTCAACTGTGCACCATCACTGTCTTACTGCTGCTCCTCACTGACGAGGAGAGGAGAGAGCGATATTGAACAGCTTCTGGGATATACATACATGAACTGGTCCTAAAGAACAGAGTGGAGCTACCGACCAGTGATGACACTCTCAACCTTCATCTTCCCATGTGCTTAATATACTGGAATATTAATATGCAATGATCATAAACAACAACAACAATTATTTTATACATAGCTGATTTAAGAAAGATGAGCAAACAACAGATTTCTGGGCTGGTAGCTGATTGGTGAACTCTCCCCCCTCTGCCCTTGTTTCCAGTCTTTATCTACAAAGTCAGCTGTTGAAAAGGGCAAAGATGTCAAAGAAATCTTAACCAACAACAACAACAAAAAAAAAAACGTAGAGAAAACTCAGAGAAAATATATTTGAAAAACACATAATTTTGTCCTATCCCATTCATTATCTGGGCACCCTTGAGATTTATCTTGTGTCCTGTTGACTGGGTCTGACCCCCCAGATTAGGAACCATAGGTCTGATTTATAAAGTTGCTTAAAATTTCACCATCTGATCTTGTTTTTTATGTTCACGATGGCATGAATTCTCAATTACAAGTACCTCTAAGCTTAATTACTTAGGTACAGTAAACAATATCTGACTTCAGGGACTACTTTTTATAAGCGGGTTCATTTCACTTGTGGAGATAATGGAGAACATGTCACAGTTTACCAACAGGAATTGGCCCCGTCTTCACTATATCTGTCTCGCCCCATGCCGGTGGCCGAGCCTGACTGTATTAGGAGAATCCTCCCTTGTTTCTGGAGCAAGAGGCGGGCCTTTGGAAAGCAGGAATGCACTGCAAGTTTTCCTGCAAGCAAGCTCCCATTCACATGTCGAAGAGCGTCCGTCCCGCGCCTCAATATGGACATGTGGCTGCTGGTGCTCCTGTTTGTCCAGCTCTGTTTCTGCTCCGGGTATGAAGGTAAGAGCCGTTGAAGGCCCTCATTCACCACTGAGTGACATTGTTAACCCCGCTGGGACCAGATTGATCCACATTATCAAACAGTTTATCTTTTCTCTGTGTGTTGAAAAAGTTTGATATCACTGGATTGAGGTTGGATTTATATTAAACACAGATCTGATTGGGAAAATATTTTTGTTTCAAATTTGCGCATGTGTTTGAGGCTTCTTATCCCCATCGCTGGTTTTTGGTGAACCGCTGCTGTGTTTACGTGGAGGGGGTGGAAAGCGGGGGGAGTGCAGTGTGCATCTGGGGGACGTTTCTCTGCACAGAGCTCAGACTGTGCCACTAATGAAAACCCTGTAGCTGCAGTGTACTGGAAGTTTTTCCTTGCCTGCGCTTTCACTGCTTCACTAAGAGCGACCTATTCATCAGTCATTTGAATCAACCTACTGCAAAGGACTTTACCATCTGGTGACTGTGGCCTGGTCTGGAAGTGGTCACTGTACTTTACTGATGAGTTCCTCTCCTGGTGTTGAGTAAACACAGAAGGAGTCCTCTTTCTCAGACACACACACTAAAGTACAGCTGCAACAATCGGGATTAATTGATCAAAAAATGAGTCGATTGCTAGAAAACTAACTGGAAACCACTTATTTTGATAATCAATTAGTCATCTAAATAATTTTTTCTTGCAAACATCCCAAATATTCTTTGATTCCATCTCATTTTTTTTCTTTGTTTGATGTCATTGTGACTAGAGTATCTTTGGGTTTTGGGCAAGACATTTAATGATATCACCTCAGACTCTGGGAACATTTGATGGACATTTTTCAATACTCTCTCACCTTTTATAGAAAGAAATGATAAATCAAGAATAATAATTGACAGATTGATAAGATAGCTATCATCCAACAGAAGAAAATGTACAGGCTATACGGAGAGAGATGGAGCCAGACAGAGCAGAGCCTGTCGCCTGCAGTGAAGAGCTGAATTGACTTCAAAGCTCAAGTTTGGATGGAGGAGTAGTCTCTCTGTTTGTGTGTGTGTGTGTGTGTGTGTGTGTGTATATGTGTATGTGTGTGTGAGTGTGAGTGTGTGTGTGTGTGTGTGTGTGTGTGCGTGTGTGTGCGCGCGTGTGCGTTGTGGCTGTGTGCCTGTAGATGGTTTGAGAGTGGCTCACCGCTGCTGTATGATCATACAGGCTGAAACATGAACACAAGCTGCCGAGCAGATTTACACTGACAGACTAAAAACTGCTTGTTGAGCTGAAAGTCAGGAGTCTGGTCTGTACTTGTGGCGTGTGTGTGTGTATGTGTGTGGGTGTGTGTGTGTGTTTACGAGGAGTTTATTTTACAGGGGTATGTTTGTGTTTGTTCCGGGGGTCAATTTGCCCCTTTATCAGTTGTGTGTGCGTGCCTAAAACTGGGTGGGAAATGTTTGAAATATGGGTTTCTTTTAAAAACCAGAACCACTCTGCAGCAAGTGTTCGTAAAAGTCTGATCACATTTTCCATGATGATTCTTGTACTGATGTGGGTCAGGAGCTGAAAGATCCTCCACACAGGGAGTAACTTGGGGAAATGCCAGAGAGCACTATTCGTGCAGAGCAGTCACTCTTGTCTACAGTTGTGTGGCTGCAGGAAAAAAGTGCAAGACTTTCTGAATAATTATAAAGGAATGCCTAATGACCATGTCAGGTTCTGACTGTTAATTAATGAATAGATAAAAAGGAGTTAGTGGCTGATTGCTACAGCATGCCTGGTCAGAACACAGGGGCAATGTCCGCTCCTCGAGTTTCACTGAACGTATTTGTATGTAGTTCAGCTAAAAATGTTAACCTCATGGCCCTTGAGAAAAAGTCAGGGAATCACCAAAGTCATTAGGATTAATCAGCTGGGGACCATGAACGCCTGAACAAAATCTCATGACGGTACATCCAATAGCTGTTGAGATATTTCAGTATAAAACAAAGTGGTGGGGCATCTCATCAACATTCCCATCTCTAGATAGGCCGTACTGTATGTAAGAAACGCTGTGTAAGAACAATCTGTTACAGCCAATCTAAAAACATTTGGAACTGTAGGATTATAACATACACTATCCAATCTAATAAAAAGATGAAAATAGCTGACTCGTCAACGGCAACATAAAAACATCATTATCGCCTTATAAAATCAATTTGGTTGTGTTGTCTTTCTGATTAATACAGTCCAGACCCAAGTAATTGGATATTTTTTGTTCTTTTTTCTCTGAGCCTGAGCATATTGAATGTCAAATGAAGTAATGGATACTACTACTACTAAGTGCCAGGTCTTAATTTCAGTGGGGAGCCCAGACAGTGGGGGGCTCCAGGCAAAGACACCGATGCTGCTATTGACAGAAGTTCCCCAAACGCCTCGAATCCAGACTCTTTGTAGATGCTATAATTTACAGATATTCCCTGAATGCCTCATGCAGGCAATGGGTAGATGCTAGCTACAGCACACATCATCAGGGGCAACAGCATTGCACTGTATAATGTCTTTATGGGAGGTTTAAGGGGGTTTATAGTTGTCATTGCAAAAGGTGCCAATATGAGGGGCCTTCGGGGGCCCATTTTCCCCTTTGGTGCCCTAAGCATTTGCCTAATTTGCCTCTTTTGATGGTGCGCCTCTGCTTAACTTTCGTTTGAGTAGGTTTACATCAGTATTTAAAGAACTGTGTCAGATAGAGCCCTTTTAATGCGTAGTGTAAAATACTCTGTTGTTCACGCTGAGGGAAACTGCAGAGGCAGCTGATAACTCTCTGTGGGTTTGTCACCTTGAGCATTCCCGTTCACATTAGTCATTTGGTCCATTGTTAATTAAAAAACTATGGATTAGCGCAGCTCTAAGAAGAGACAGATACATGCTGTAATAATACAGCGCTGTGAAACGATCTGTTTCGGAGTGTGAGTCTACATCTTGAACGCTTAGATGAATCATTCTGAGTTTACTCTGTTGCTCTTCATTTTTGGATCTCCTGCTGAACTGCCAAGTAGCTCCAGAGCCTTTAATGGAAATGCAGTAGTATTTTATGAATGACACAAACCAGAGACAGCAGAGCTCTCACAATAAACATGAATGTTTATGTATAAATATTGTAGAACAGTGACACTAGATGCTAGCCAGATGAATGGATAAAGTATAAGTAGATACATAAAAAGTATACAAATAGATAAAGTATAGGACATATTTCTGTAACATATAGCTGTATGATTCAGGCAAGTTTATTTTTCACCAGTAATACAATATATTGTGGCGAGCTATGAGTCCATTACTGTAACTACTTATGAATTGGTGTACCTATTGTAAAGTGCTAATAAGATAAACAGCAGGAGTTTGTTCCTCAGGGTCACAGACAGCTGATGTGATTAAAGCAGCAGCAGACGTGTTGGTTACACAGTACAACTGGAACAGAAATCATTAGTGCTCCAGGAGAAGTTATATAACTCTGTAATCACGGCAAGTTGAGTTGAGTGATGAAGAAATGACATTCCTTTTTATTTTCTGCTCTCTTCTACTCTACTCAGCCTGTAGCCATACTTCAACAAGGGAGTGAGCTTCCACATAATGACAGTTTGTATTACAGGCCCTCAGAGAAAAGCTAATTGGAATATCAGGCTCTGTAATTTAAAGCTTATTCACTCCCAGAGGTTTTGCGCTGCCTGCACTAGTAACATTTTGACATCTTTCTTGCCGAGAACTCTTTTGAAGTAGTAGAGTTGAGCAGGAAGATGACGCCGGCTGCTGATCCAGCCACATCATGTTGACAGATTTATTAGATAGAAGTGAAGATTAGTCTCAGATCGCATGGTCTTGGCTCGGACTTGTTTGAATATGAAATCCTTTTTTATCAATGAGGACACATCAGGTTTAGCCAATTTAATCAGTTTCAAGCCTGGAGGTCCGGTCGAGCCTGCGCCACCTACAGACAAGGAGAGGAACAGCAGCCAACAGGTTAGATCTGCAGGTGAAGACATCAAGGATGTATCAAGGAAAGTAGATAATTCACAGCATACACCAAAAAGAGTTTTACGGAAGTGTTTCAAAGCCTTGTATCATAGACCTTTTACACAAAGATGACTTCACATACTGCACCACCAAAGGAGAGAGTTTTGTTGAGTCATACTTCTGGGAGGTTTACAGAGTTCACACTGCTCCGGTTGTCTGTATATGTCCTCCTGGTTACTTTGGAGAGAGAAGAAGTCTTAACCAAAAAAATATGGATGCAAAGGCCAAAAGAAAAAACAGTTCAAGAAAATGAACAATAAACATTAACTAAATTCGTCCTTTAGTTCTGTCTGAAGTTCTGTTTCACGTGTTATTGTTTACATATTTCTTGCGTATTACTTCACCTCAGATGTCTAAATATTATGTAGACAATTATCATAGTGCCTGAATAAAGCCAAGTAATAGATGCTCATCAAAGAAAAAAATATATACAAGTGTTTACAAAATCTTTGAAAGTTAACATTTGCTTTGCTGAATTGTCTCGGTCTTCTTGTTCTCAGTCAACAAGTCCATGGTGCATCCACAGTTTGATACCTGCTGGAGGCAAGAGTGGCAAAATGATGTGCCATCTTTATCAGTGATTTTATTTTAAGATATTTATAATGGCGTTTTGGACCCTTTTCTTCTTTTCCTGGAGAGATATTGATTACGTGTCAGGACTGAGCTTTATGTATCAGGAACCTGTGGTTAGTTCCTGTGCTGGGAATGATTCTCATTCTCTGTGGATTTTGTTTATGATCTGATGATTTTATGTTTTTGTTTAGATTGTTTACAACCTTTAAATATGTTTTCTACTGACCGAAATTAAATAACAGGACCACTGATAATGTCAGTAGCTGTATCTGTATCTTAGTCATTACAGAGTTTGGTTACTTGTTTAGTGTTGATCGAGGATGTGGTAATGTGTCTGTAGGTTTATACAGTCTGATCAAGTTAAATGTTTGTTCCAGGCTGTTTTACTTGGCTTGTTAAAAACTATACAGCAGGATCCACTTTCCCATTCACTTGTATGGGGAAGTGGTGACAGACTTTCACCTCACTGTATATATACAGTAATACAATATTTGACAGTTATGTGGTGGTTATGTTCATCAGCCAATAAGATGTGGTACATTAAAAAGTAAAACTTAATGACAAAGGGCATTTTTTCATTCATTTAGATAGAAATAGTATGAAAAATTTTATAAGAATTTTATGGATTATAATTTTAAAACTAATTTCCATGTCATCGTTTCTGGCAACACCTACCAGCCAATCAGAGACAAGTAGCCTCCCTTCATATTGTCATATCTTATTTGCTTGGCTGCAAATTGTTATAGAACTGATCTAATTGATGTTCATTTTGAAGAGGAGACACACACACACACACACACACACACACACACACACACACACACACACACACACACACACACACACACACACACACACACACACCAGACATACCTTTCTCTCCCTCCCTCCATTTCCCCATTAAGAAGCAGACACTAAAGTTTTCCCATTAGACAGCTAAATCTGACTCACTCAGTCTGTGGGTTCTCTCTGTACAATCCATGCTGTGTGATCCGACATCTAAAACCTCAAAGCTTGTTGTGTGTGTGTGTGTGTGTATGTGTGTGTGTGTGTGTGTGTGTGTGTGTGTGTGTGTGTGCGTGCGTGTGAGTGTGTATTAGATGACTTGCAGCATTATGGTCCAGACCAGCTTTTATGAAACTGACTGAAAAGCCATGATGAGGAATAGGGAACGGGGCGGGAGATGTGCTCACAGTATCAGGTTCACTGACCAACATGCGGCTGATATCTGAAGCTGGAGAAGGTTGAACACTCCTCCCTTTTGGATCCTGAACAGAGGATGCATTCACACCAGGGTTCATAACATCCCAGGTTGAACACCCCTCCCCCTTCATTTAACCCCTTCCTCACCCATTTCCTCTTTCCTCTCTGTTTTTATTGCCTCCTGACCTGCCCCCCCCCATCCCTCCTTCCTCTGTCCTTAAATAATCCTCCTTGCTCATCACAATTCCCTTCACATTTGTCTTTTACCAGTGCTGCTCAGCTGTGTCCTCCACCAGCTCTGCAGCCACCACTCAGAAACATTTCAGTTCCTCTTGAATGCTGCTGTTTTATGCTCTGAATATATTTAGCTCTGTCTCACAAATGTGTTCACTGTTAAAGCTGAAAATGGATTGCTGTCTACGGTAAGTATGATCCATGGGAGCTGTTTTGGAACAAAAAAAGTTTCAACATACTCCTTTCATTTCTACCAATCACAATATGGGGTCGCAGAGTGAATCTTTGTGTTAAACAGATTAACTTTTCCAAACGAGCTGGAAAAAGAGGATCTTTTGAGGTTTTTTTCTTTTCTGCATGTGTCCTGTCCAAAAGATCCAGATCACCCCCCTGGAGTCTGGTTCAAATGAAAAGTTAAGCAATGTTTTTAAGCTTGGTGCTGCTTTGCTGTAAAAAAAAAAAAAAAAAAGAGAAAAAGCTCCCATACGTCAGCCCAGGACAATACTTTCAAACATTGCCTAACCTCTTGGATGCAGCTCTTTTTTCATCACATTAGTTGCTTTTCTTTTTTTTTTTCTCTTTCACCCCCAGGATCAGGACAGTACGGCTACGGAGACGATGAGGACTGGTATTCTCGTAGATATAAAGGTGACTACATGCTTGGTTTGACACTTGACGAGAACACACACGCACGCATACATGCAGTAGATGCATTATGAAATCTTATATTTTTTATATTATATTCTTTCATGGTAGGGAGTGTTCCAGCTTGAGACCAATCCCTCTTTGAGAGTTAACTTAGTTCCTTTAGTTTAAAGTCTCAGAGAAATGGCAGCGAGAGCAACTCCATCTTCTGTAATGTGAGAGATTTCAGAGTGATTTAGAGGATCTGAATAAGATCCTTCAGATTTGATTGATTGCTCAAAAGTGGCCATGGCATGGCTAACACGGAGCTCCACCCACACCTCCTTCACCAGGGACAGGTATAAGTTTGAGCACAACCATGACTCAGATCCAAACACTCACCTCTGACACTGCTGCTCTGCTAGTTAACAGTCAAGTGTGAAGCTAGTTTCCCTGAATAACATTTAATTGTAATCATGTATTTATACGTCCGAGGGTTCAAGATGTGCCGTTGAAAATAATTTAATGTTTTACAGGGAGAGAGAAGAGATTTAATACAATACGGAGAGTAATAATACACAGGCACACAGGATTAAAATTAGAAGGACTGTATTTTTTTTTAATGTCCCTGTTTCTTTAAAGAGCCGTAATTTAACGGAAGGTAGTTCAGCCAGTTATGTAAAATGACACAGTTATGTCAAAGTAGCTTCCCGCTTGAAATTCGGGGTCAGTTAGACACGGAACATTATCGTCCAGGCCAAACCAAACTCTCCCCTTGTGTAAAAGCTCAAATGTAGTGTTATTTTCTCTCACTCAGTGGCTCTGGAGACTTTGCCAATGCACACACACGCATAGAGAGAGGGAGCAAGGGAGGCTTGCAGTGTAATGAATACTCATTTCTATTCCAACTGGAAATTAGCCTAAGCCTGCCCGGTGTGTATTCTCCTCTCCAAGTGTGTGCATACAGTATGTGTGTATGTGTTGGACCACAGGGCTGAGTGCTTGTCATGAGCCAGCAGGAAATAAACTGCAGATTTTGATTTCCATGTATTGGAAACGGACCTTGTGGCCCCTCAAACTTGGCATAAAACAAGGAATTGTTGCGCAAGCATTGTAGAGATGGGCAGAGGTATCCGCCGTGGGAGGAGACAAGTTGAAAGCAAACATAGTTGTCTTAAAGAATAGTTTGACATTATAGGAAATATGTTTTATTTTTGTTTTTTTTGTTAAATTGGGGGATTGTGTGCTGGACTATTTCTTGGTCAGGACCAGTAACTTGTTGCAGTCTCCATTGTTTGCTGGCTAAGTAGTAGTCCATGACATAATACCCCATGAAATGGCAATTTGTCATTTTTACTCTTAGGGTTTTGCCTGGAGTGAACAAATGAGATACAACATGTTAATTAATGTGCTTTATAGATGGCTCTTGTTTCTTATTGGCAGGACCAAACGTCAAAATATTGCAAAAAATTTTTTTTACGCTTGCCTGAGGTGGAAAAGTTGGTGTATGAATAATAACAACATGCAGCAAAGTGTATTAGAAAACACAGTTACCGATAAATCATTTCATACACAAAGCTGTGTGTGTCCGCTGTGGCTTCCACTCCACTGAGGAGATGAAAAATATCAGTAGACAAAAACATTAGTGTGCAGATGTGTGCGTGAATCAGGACACTGTGACCTTCCTCGAGTTAATAGATCAACCAAACTCTGAATATTCACTCAACAGAAGTGGACACAGACATGCATCTATTCCTTTAATTAGGACTCTATTGTGCTAAAATAAAACTGATGCGTCTGTGGTTGGTCTATTCAGCATCATCATTTCAGAAAGACAAAATCTTTGAAGGGATGCAGGGAAAGCTGAGAGTTCAAATCAGTAGTGTGATCACTGTCAATAGTAATAGTTTAACAGCTGAACTCTCAACACAGACTTCTATCTGTGTGGAGATTTTCCCACTCTCTCTGTGCTCCCTACACATCACCACACATCTGTCTTTTCCTCAAGTGAGACTACCTTCTGTGCCTCATGAGACACTGTTGGATTAAGGCAAGTCGCAGATAAGGTAATCAGAAATCCACCGTATCTGTCTGAACTCAGATGATGGGCGGGTTTTCACACTTACAGTATAAGGAAGTCTGTTTTAGCTTTTATAATCTCCAGGTAAGAGATTATTGAGCTCATGTTGAATACTGATATCAGCAACCTTCTCTCCCATTTTGTGCTGCTGAGTTTAAGGTCATGCTATAAAAAAAATGTATAATGCCTTGATGCGGTGGAGAAAAGGTCAGCGTAGTTGTCTTTCCTTCCATTTTTAGGGACCCCGTGGTGCGCGCCCATTAAGGTGAAACATGGTGACGTGAGCTGTCGCACACCCAGAGGAGAGCACTACAGGAATGTGATGGGGACCCGCTGTAAAATCCGTTGTAAGCAGGGATACGAGGCCCAGAGCTCAGAGGTGGTGTGTATGGCCAGCAAACACTGGTCCTCTAACTATGCCTGCCGAGGTGACCACGCACGCACACACACACACACACACACACACACACACACACACACACACATTATGTCTCTCACCTACATGCTAGGTTTGCCTGATGTGGACTTTTAATAGTAATCCTTACAACTTTGAGCATCCAAGTTTATTCTGCAGCTTCAGCCTCATGTTTTTTCACTTGTCATAGAGATTTCCATCCAAGTCTTGCACATCGGCTTAAAACTATCTGCAGCTGATGTTTGGAGTTTTTTTTTTTTTTAATTGGCTGATGTTTATACAGCAAATTTGTAAACAATTACATGGGCCCATTACTTCTCCCAGAAGTGTGTTCTTGGCAGGTGTGAAAGCCTCTTTGGAAAGAAATGGTATTCAGAGCATGGGACAGTTGAGCTGAATTGCTCCATTGTAACTCCGAATCCTGATGGAAAATTACTGCCACTACTACTAATAGTATAACTACTACAGCTGCTCTCGAATAAGTTCAGGTTTAGGGCTTCTTCTAGACAGAGTAGGGCTGATGAGTACCAAGTTTTAATAATATGGGCCAATCAGTAAATACATTTACCAGGTTCAACTTATTGCAAATATCTGAACAGAATGAAGAATAAAAAAAATAGTTCTCAACTCAAAAGCCAGCACTGAGTTAGGTAAAGAAATATCTCTCTGTGTGTGGGAGGGGGGGTTGAAGGATAAATGTGTTCAGTAAATGCTACAGCTTGATTTATCTAGTTCAGTGCGATTCATCGTTTACGTTATCTCAAAAAAACAAAAAAAACTCAACTAATTTTACGAATCAATACACAGATACAGGAGGATTACAGAGTGGTTCTTATTAGTTGCTCTGAAGACGCTCTGATGCTGCCTTTCCTATGAGAAAACTCACTATGATAAAATTTGCTCTGGTGAAATATTCAACAAGACTTGGAGACAGTTTTAAGAGTTTTTTGCAAAAGGATTGTGAATGTCATAGCTGTGTGTTTGTTTGTTTGTTTGTTTGTTTGTTATCTAGTTCTCTGTTTTTGTTTTTATTGGGCTATGGTGGGTGGAAGATCTAGTGTTTGGTTGTAAAGATAAAACCCTTCTCTGACAGAGATCCGCTGTGCCAAGCTGGACATGCCCGCTAACGGCGGCTACAAGTGTTCGGACGGCTCCTACTTCAACTCTCGCTGCGAGTTCTTCTGCTCACCTGGATTCAGTCTGAAGGGCCAGAAGACGGCAACCTGCCAGTACAGCAAGGTGTGGAGCGCTGGTGTTCCCACCTGTGTCGGTAAGACTGTGTGTGCTGTTCTTTTGTGCAGAATTTAGTCTCCCACAGAGACCTGGAGCCTGCAGACTTCTGAGCTGCAATGGAAAAACACTGTGGAGACTGGTTTAATTACTTGCTTAAGGCGCAATGTCAGCTACAGACTACTATATAAAAGTCTACAGCAATGACTATTCCTCATAATATAAAAGTTATATTATTGATGTTTGGAAAAAAACAGGCCTCTAGACATGGACATATACATAGACACACATACACAAACACATACTCTCAACACCAAATAATGATGAATGCTTTTCGCTTCTTTGCAGCCTGAGTCTGAGGCTGAAAATGACTCTACTTTTTTTGTGAGAGGCTTAGCTCTACTTAGGTGATCATATAAATGGCTGTGTAATCTTGCGACCTTGTGAACAGTAGATAATCACAGCACACACACTCCTTCAGAGCTCACAGAAACAGCCAGCATGTTCTCACCAGTGTTGTTTGTGAACGTCTGTCTGTAAGGACACTGGTGCGAATCATTTTCCTGATGTCACCTCAAAACGTGCTTTAATTATTGAAACCAAGAGTTCAGCCAGATCTCTTAAATACTTTTCACACCGACCTGTCTCTCAGCGTCTCTGTTTGTCTTTATGATTCGACTCTGTATTCTAGATGTCCAGTGTTTGTTGGTAAATGGTGCTTCAGGTGATAGCTACTAGATGTTGAACAGCTAAGATGTGGTGGTTGCTTTCTTTTTTACTGTTCACTAAACCCCTCCCCCTTAGGTTTTCTCCCTTTTCTTTATAGTTAGTAGTATTATTATTATTAGGACTTACTAACTAACTTACTAACTTGCAATACAAGAATGAGCTGTTTCTTCTACATTAACTGCTGAGGATGCTGACTTTTTGCAGGGGACATGTCAGCTTTAGCCTCAGTCTTTTAGCACAGTATCATATACGTAACCACCAAGACTCTTACAGGGTTCTCACTATAAAATGAATGGTGGAAGATATAAAAAAAAGTCAGTGGGAGACAACATTTTCAACACTGGGAGCTAATGCTAGCTCAATTAGCTTTGCACCTCTTTGCTCTTGTCTACCTCTGAATTAATTTAAAGGATCAAAAATTAGCACAACTTTAAGTGGTTAATCTTCTCCCATTATAATAAAAAACTGTAAATGCTGAGTGAAAAAGCTTGACAGGTGTAGCAACAGTGAAGAGAAGTGAGGATTAGCCAACAGTCATTTGGGAGTTACACTTTCCGCTCTGTCCAAATTTCCTATTTTCCATCTGTTGTCCATGTAATAAGACAGAATGTACATTTAAATGTGGAGCATGTGATTTGATTTAGAGATTTGTTTTCTCATTTGTTCCTTTACTGAAGTTTTTATACATATTTTCTCTCTCTCTCTCTCTCTCTCTCTCTCTCTCTCTCTCTCTCTCTCTCTCTCTCTCTCTCTCTCTCTGTAGATATTGATCCCCCTAAAATCAAGTGCCCTAATCTGAAGGACAAATGGGCAGAACCAGGAAAACTGACAGCGAGGGTAACTTGGGACACACCAGAGGGTGTCGACACTGCAGATGGCATCCTTACAGAGTCAGTCTCATCTCCTCCACATCTTTTTAAGCTTTTTCTTACATTTTGCTTCAGTGCACTCACTTCAATTTGTTATTCAGGGAGATCACATTGAAAGATTAAAGCTGAATCTGTCTTTTGCAGTGTTATCCTGAAAGGGAAACCTTCAAAATCAAACTTCCCCGAGGGGCTCCATAAGATGTCCTACACTGTGTTTGACCGCGCTGGGAACAAAGGATCCTGCCGCTTCACTGTCAGAGTGCGAGGTGAGTAAGAGACAGAAGCTCTTTGATAATCTGTGTGGAGCAGGGTCTCGGTAACACTTTATTCTGTGTTCAATTGTTACACTTATAATTATATCATATTCATTTCTAGTATAACGTACATAATGACTTTCATGCAAAATATGGAGCTTTTCTTTTACGGAAACACCTATACTTTCCCTATAATTAGTATCATATTACATAGATCTTTGTGGGACATTTACTAAGAAATTAAATGGAAATAAAACAGTGCTACATTTTCTGGTCTTCACTGATATACAGAGCTCTTTTGTTGCAAAGGGTCAGAGGTTAATCTCTGGAGCTGACAGAAGTTGCGCCTTTGGCTCACAGAGACAAAAACTAACGGTGTGTGATTAATGGTCTTTCGTCAGCTTGTAGAGTTAGAAAGTACAATTTATGACATAAATCAATTGGACAACTGTCCATGAATGAAGTAGGTTAATGGAAAATGTCTCCATATAACTCTAACTATTTAGTACATTTAGTGGATTTATGTCAGGCCTCCTTCATCCTGCGGGTTTTTTTCTTGTGATATATTCACCAGGCTTTAATGAACACCTGAACCAAATACCTGTTAAACACAAAGTGATAATGTGATACTCCCTGACTTAACAAGAAAGGACAAGGACAAGGACAACGGCTGCATCTGTGAGAGCCTTTGGAATGAGGCAGGCCATGTTAGCCAATTATGACTAATCCTATTCAATTTATTCAATCTGATCATACAAACTTCAAAGGATCCAGCCTCTGAATTAAGACACTCTCTCTGATTAAGAAATTTGAATCTCATTCTTCCGGTTGAAGCGTAATAAAGACAAAAACAATTCATTAATTCAAACTGAATTCCCTCCATGTGTATGCTGTGTTGATGTCAATCCTTCTGTCTCCTTTCTTTCAATGCAACCTTGTTGCTTCCCATATTTCCTGACACTGTGTGTCGCATGTGTCTCTGTTTAGTGCGCCGCTGCAGCTCACTGTTTCCCCCAGACAATGGCTACATGAAGTGTGACAGTGATGGAGACAACTATGGTGCCAATTGTGAATTCAAGTGCACCGGCGGCTACGAGCTACAGGGCAGCGCTGCCAGAGTGTGTCAGTACGGACTCACCTGGTCTGGCACAGATACAACCTGTTCACGTACGTACTGCATGCAGATTAACACACTCATACACGCAAACAGACACACAAACAAAACAAGCTTTCTATTTTTTTTCTCAGAACAATTTGCAAAATGAATGTACAAATGCAGACACAGGAATAAATTCAGTTAAAACAGAAACAAACAAAAGAAAAAGAAAAAGTTTAAAAAGTAAAAGAAGGAAAAGTTAATAAAAAAAAGACAAATATGAGGTGAAGTTGATAATAACAGTAGAGGACTTCAACACTACCATTAATTCTTCAGTTTTATGGGCTGAAGACATTATTTATAATGAATGAGTGTCTTTTTTTTCCAAATGTTTTTGACCCTAGTTTCATTCTATAAGTAACTTTCTATATTTCACACACTTGTTCATTCGTCCATCCTCACCGTAACCAAAAGAATAAGTATGTATGTCTACAATCTTCTGGGATTTCTCGCAGTTCTGCAACCTTGGGATCCATTCACGAGTATTTCTCCAAAACATTATTTTTAAAAAGAAAAACTTTGGTCCAAAAGTTGGGATACAACGAAAAACAGGCATATAATTTGCGAACTGCTCACCACACGTCCTCCAGCAGGCTCCTGTTAGATCTGGTTTTATTCTGAACTCTATTTTGGGTTAAAATCTGTTGATAACTCGTATTCCTTCCAAGTATTTACATCATTAATGACATGGACATTCTTATATTTGTGATAGTTTGTACTACTTTTTCTACAATTTAGATGGCCCCCCCCCCCCCCCGCCCCCCCCCCATGAATATTTAGGCTACATTCCCATATCTGATTGGGCTATTTAGACTCTCAGTTATTTTTAATTTGGAAGTAGCTACTGTCTTTTTCCACAGTAGCAATAAACAGAACAATAGTATATAAACTTTGCCTACCTGTGCTAAACTGGTTCCCTGTGAGGAGCTCAGTGGAGGTGAAAATGGCCCCCTCTGCTATCCATCGATTGGAAAAATCAATACTGGACGCCCTTCTATTGAATGTCTGTATCTGTGAGACAGGAAAAAGTAGTAGATGGGAGCGACTGTGTTGCAGCCTTTGTGCAGAAGACCATGAGCAATTAATACTCAATTGTGCATGTTCCGTTCATTGTTGAATATACTACAAAGGGTGCATGAATTTCTTATTTGATTTTATCTGCTGTAATATTGTGTTGTGATAAATAGTCTGCTCTTGCACTGTGTGTCATTGTCACTTAATTGTACATTCAATGTCATCGCAGCCATGAACATCAATGTGGGAGTGCGGACGGCTGCTGCACTGCTGGACCAATTCTATGAGAAGCGACGGCTTCTCATTATCTCAGCGCCGACGGCTGCCAATCATAATTATCGCTTCCAGATGACTAACTTACAGGTGAGGCATGACGCACAGAGCAGCATGGGTTGTATGCGCGGTGACTGAGATGGGAGGCAAGAGCAGGAGTGAAGAAGTGATAGAAGTCAATACTGCAGGGATTTGTGTCCTCTCTTATGCTGCTCACAAAGGGGACGACAATGTGTTTGGTTTTTCTTTCTTGCTCAGCTGCCTAAGTAGGACAAAGCATAGTGATAAATAAATAGGGGGGAGGGCGTCTCATTGCACAGAAAATGTCAAGGCAATGAAGAAATGATACTGACACTGGCTCTGATAAGGCTGCTCTGGAGCTGAATGTTCCCGTCGTCAGTAACCATTCAGTCAGAACTGTCTTTAAATGTCTGATGTTTCAGAGCGACTGGGTTATCAGCTGAAAGACAAACCAGCGTTAAAAGACAGTCAGTTTGTGAATAGCTTGAAAGATCTGTCAGGTAGTTTGGTGATCTGGAGTTGTTTGTGATATCATTTGTCACTATTTTGACAATTTGACTATTTTACAATTTTCAAGCAAAAATGTCAAATATTCTCAGGTTCTCGCTTCTCAAAAATGAGGACTTGCTACTTTTCTCTGTTTTATATCAGTGTAATTGAGCAACTTTGGATGCTGGACTGTTGGTCAGACAAAAGCCTTTCCCCCCTTTGGCTCTGGGAAATTAGGATCAAAATAACAATGGAGAAACTACCTCTGCAGATTTTTCAAGATACATTCATACATTAGCGTTTATTACATCAACATTTAATTAACTACAGCTGATATAAGGACATTTAAGTGTTGATTAATATACATATTTGTCAGCTAATACCTTCTTCAATGAAGACTATGTATTACTTAATTTTCTATCTATCTATCTATCTATCTATCTATCTAGTTGTCGGTATAAATCAGTGTGTCATTATATTTTATTTTTGAGGAAAATAAACGCAATGCTTTTAGCAACCTGTAATCACACTCAAGGTCAGACATCCAAGTGAAGTAACAATGAGCGAACACATTTTTGAGTTGAGGGGGACTTTAATTAATCATGACAGTAATCATTAGTTGCAGCCCAAGTTCTGTCTATTATATCTTTGGTTCAGCATTATCCTCTGTGCTATGAGCTGTGCTCAGTTTTGTTTTGCCTGCACAGGAATCGATACCAAAGCTATAGAACTCATACATCAGTCTGTCTCCGTCTGTCTCTCTTGTGGGAACAGCACGCTCAGTGTGGACTGGACCTGAGGCATGTGACAGTAATTGAGCTGGTTGGGACTTACCCTGCACAGATTGGACGAATTCGACACAGGCTGCTCCCCCCAGGACTGGCCCTGCAGCTCAGGTACACACACACACACATATACATGTGCGCACACATACACACACACTTTCCACAGCTGCTTACTGAGCTGATGTGTTTCCTAGGTTACTGCTCCAGATCCCACAAAGGTCTTTCCAAATGGTGCTGGTAGACAAGCAGGGCATGGACAAGCAACGCTACCCGTTCCCGATCACAGCCGCCGAATTATTCACCACCATAGACACTTTCCCCCCCCGCAAGGATGAGATGTTGCTACAGCAGGAGGCGGGTCAGACCTGTCAATCATAAAACACCCTGGCCTTCGGTGCACTTCTAATGGACTGTCGACCATCTTCGATCCTTTTCCTCCTCAGTCACAGCAGACAGGACCTGCTCTGATCTTCTATTTCTATCCACATGTCACACACTCCTACCTGAACTCATTCAATCCTGTATCCTGAAGGTGTGAGTGTGACTGTGTGTCTGTGTGTGTGTGTGTGAATGCATGTAAAGTGTGTGTGCCATCAAAAGTTTGGATGTCAGTCATGGTGCTGATCTGAAGCAGGGGGATTTATAGAAAGAGGTTACTAAATGGAATGGGTCATACAGTTACAATCATATTGATTCCTGAGTCTTGTCTTTCTGTACATGTTTTATTATTATTATTATTAATATTTTCAAATCAGAAATATGTTTTACTATTTTGTACAAAAAGTCTTTTTACTGTATGAACTGGAAAACTTTTCACCTGTCTAATATTTATGTCTTATTTCTCTAATAATGATGTACTCTGACACTCTATGGAAAACTGTGTGTTATGTACAGTGCATCTGTACATCTACGTCAGAAATTACAAGACACTGATTAAATATGTCTTCACGGACGATGTGATCTTCATTGTGTCAGTGTGAATGCAAGAGGCTAATATGTAGGCTATCTAAAGTATAACCTATATGTATAAACCTGTTAGAAATTGGAACAATATCATATATGGAGATACATGTCCTGCTAATAGAACCATGTATTTTAGTATGTCTGTTTATATTATAGAAATACTGTATGCTACATGAATACAAGCCTGTCAGTATATGTTCATATTATATGTGTAAATATAAAAGATAGACATATATATTTAAATTTAATAAGAAATTATTAAGAAAATCATATACAAATAAATCGAATTTTAAGACTATGTTGTTTTAATAAAGTTGCACTTTACTATGAGTATTTCATTTACGTTATGAACTGACCTTTATATATCCAGAGGATGTATATATGTCATAATAATATATCCTCTTATAGGTGACACATATGGTAACATTTCTCTTGATATGGGGACAAATCAAGAGAAATGACACAAAACGTCATAGTATAGTGAGGTATAAAAATGTCTGAAAATGTCATAAAATAGTAAGGCATAAAATTGTTAGTATATAATAAGGCATAAAAAAGTAAAAAAAAAAACGGCATAGTATAGTAAGGCATAAAAAGGTCAAAAAAAGTTATAGTGTAGTAAGGCATAAAATTGTTAATTTACAATAAGGCATGAAAACGCCAAAAAACGTCATAGTATAGTAAGGCAAAAAAACGTAAAAATACATCATAGTATAGTAGGGCATAAAAATGTCAAAAAACGTCATAGTATAGTAAGGCGAAAAAAAACGCCAAAAAACGTCATAGTATAGTAAGGCAAAAAAAAGTCAAAAAACGTCATAGTATAGTGAGGCATAAAAATGTCTGAAAATGTCATAAAATAGTAAGGCATAAAATTGTTAATATATAATAAGGCATAAAAAAGTTTAAAAAAAACGGCATAGTATATTAAGGTATAAAAAGGGCAAAAAATGTCATAGTATAGTAAGGCATAAAAAGGTCAAAAAAAGTTATAGTGTAGTAAGGCATAAAATTGTTACTTTACATTAAGGCATGAAAACGCCAAAAAACGTCATAGTATAGTAAGGCATAGTATAGTGAGGCATAAAAATGTCTGAAAATGTCATAAAGAAAAAACGTCAAAAAACGTCATAGGATAGTAAGGCGAAAAAACCCCAAAAAACGTCGTAGTATAGTAAGGCAAAAAAAAAGTCACAAAACGTCATAGTATAGTAAGGTATAAAAAGGGCAAAAAATGTATAGTATAGTAAGGCATAGTATAGTGAGGCATAAAAATGTCTGAAAATGTCATAAAGAAAAAACGTCAAAAAACGTCATAGGATAGTAAGGCGAAAAAACCCCAAAAAACGTCGTAGTATAGTAAGGCAAAAAAAAAGTCACAAAACGTCATAGTATAGTAAGGTATAAAAAGGGCAAAAAATGTATAGTATAGTAAGGCATAGTATAGTGAGGCATAAAAATGTCTGAAAATGTCATAAAGAAAAAACGTCAAAAAACGTCATAGGATAGTAAGGCGAAAAAACCCCAAAAAACGTCGTAGTATAGTAAGGCAAAAAAAAAGTCACAAAACGTCATAGTATAGTAAGGTATAAAAAGGGCAAAAAATGTATAGTATAGTAAGGCATAGTATAGTGAGGCATAAAAATGTCTGAAAATGTCATAAAGAAAAAACGTCAAAAAACGTCATAGGATAGTAAGGCGAAAAAACCCCAAAAAACGTCGTAGTATAGTAAGGCAAAAAAAAAGTCACAAAACGTCATAGTATAGTAAGGTATAAAAAGGGCAAAAAATGTATAGTATAGTAAGGCATAGTATAGTGAGGCATAAAAATGTCTGAAAATGTCATAAAGAAAAAACGTCAAAAAACGTCATAGGATAGTAAGGCGAAAAAACCCCAAAAAACGTCGTAGTATAGTAAGGCAAAAAAAAAGTCACAAAACGTCATAGTATAGTAAGGTATAAAAAGGGCAAAAAATGTATAGTATAGTAAGGCATAGTATAGTGAGGCATAAAAATGTCTGAAAATGTCATAAAGAAAAAACGTCAAAAAACGTCATAGGATAGTAAGGCGAAAAAACCCCAAAAAACGTCGTAGTATAGTAAGGCAAAAAAAAAGTCACAAAACGTCATAGTATAGTAAGGTATAAAAAGGGCAAAAAATGTATAGTATAGTAAGGCATAGTATAGTGAGGCATAAAAATGTCTGAAAATGTCATAAAGAAAAAACGTCAAAAAACGTCATAGGATAGTAAGGCGAAAAAACCCCAAAAAACGTCGTAGTATAGTAAGGCAAAAAAAAAGTCACAAAACGTCATAGTATAGTAAGGTATAAAAAGGGCAAAAAATGTATAGTATAGTAAGGCATAGTATAGTGAGGCATAAAAATGTCTGAAAATGTCATAAAGAAAAAACGTCAAAAAACGTCATAGGATAGTAAGGCGAAAAAACCCCAAAAAACGTCGTAGTATAGTAAGGCAAAAAAAAAGTCACAAAACGTCATAGTATAGTAAGGTATAAAAAGGGCAAAAAATGTATAGTATAGTAAGGCATAGTATAGTGAGGCATAAAAATGTCTGAAAATGTCATAAAGAAAAAACGTCAAAAAACGTCATAGGATAGTAAGGCGAAAAAACCCCAAAAAACGTCGTAGTATAGTAAGGCAAAAAAAAAGTCACAAAACGTCATAGTATAGTAAGGTATAAAAAGGGCAAAAAATGTATAGTATAGTAAGGCATAGTATAGTGAGGCATAAAAATGTCTGAAAATGTCATAAAGAAAAAACGTCAAAAAACGTCATAGGATAGTAAGGCGAAAAAACCCCAAAAAACGTCGTAGTATAGTAAGGCAAAAAAAAAGTCACAAAACGTCATAGTATAGTAAGGTATAAAAAGGGCAAAAAATGTATAGTATAGTAAGGCATGAAAACATCAAAAAACGTCATAGTATACTTAGGCATAAAATCTTTTGAAAATGTTATAGTATAATAAAGCATAAAATCATAAATATACAATAAGGCATAAAAATGTCAAAAAAGGTCATAGAGTATTGGTGTATAAAAACGTCAAAAAATGTCATACTATAGTATGGTTTAAAACGGTAAAAAAAAGTCATAGTATACTAAGGCAAGAAATCTTTATGAGATATTATAGCATAAAAACGTTTTAAAAAGTCATAGTGTGGTAAGGCGAAAAAACCCCAAAAAACGTCATAGTATAGTAAGGCAAAAAAAAAACGTCAAAAAACTTCATAGTATAGTAAGGCATAAAAATGTCTGAAAATGTCATAAAGTAGTAAGGCATAAAATTGTTAATATATAATAAGGCATAAAAAAGTTTTAAAAAAACGGCATAGTATATTAAGGCATAAAAAGGGCAAAAAATGTCATAGTATAGTAAGGCATAAAAAGGTCAAAAAAAGTTATAGTGTAGTAAGGCATAAAATCATTAATTTACAATAAGGCATGAAAAGGCCAAAAAATGTCATAGTATAGTAAGGCAAAAAAACGTAAAAATACATCATAGTATAGTAAGGCAAAAAACCCCAAAAAAACGTCATAGTATAGTAAGGCAAAAAAAAACGTAAAAAAATGTCATAGTATAGTGAGGCATAAAAATGTCTGAAAATGTCTTAAAATAGTAAGGCATAAAATTGTTAATATATAATAAGGCATAAAAAAGTTTAAAAAACGGCATAGTATAGTAAGGCGAAAAAAACGTCAAAAAACGTCATAGTATAGTAAGGCAAAAAAAAACGTAAAAAAATGTCATAGTATAGTGAGGCATAAAAATGTCTGAAAATGTCTTAAAATAGTAAGGCATAAAATCGTTAATATATAATAAGGCATAAAAAAGTTTAAAAAAACGGCATAGTATATTAAGGTATAAAAAGGGCAAAAAATGTCATAGTATAGTAAGGCATAAAAAGGTCAAAAAAAGTTATAGTGTAGTAAGGCATAAAATTGTTAATTTACAATAAGGCCTGAAAACACCAAAAAACATCATAGTATAGTAAGGCAAAAAAACGTAAAAATACATCATAGTATAGTAAGGCGAAAAAAACCAAAAAAACGTCATAGTATAGTAAGGCAAAAAAAACGTAAAAAAATGTCATAGTATAGTAAGGCAAAAAAAACGTCAAAAAATGTCATAGTATAGTAAGGCAAAAAAACCGTCAAAAAACGTCATAGTATAGTGAGGCATAAAAAAGTCTGAAAATGTCATAAAATAGTAAGGCATAAAATTGTTAATATATAATAAGGCATAAAAAAGTTAAAAAAAAACGGCATAGTATATTAAGGTATAAAAAGGGCAAAAAATGTCATAGTATAGTAAGGCATAAAAAGGTCAAAAAAAGTTATAGTGTAGTAAGGCATAAAATTGTTAATTTACAATAAGGCATGAAAACACCAAAAAACATCATAGTATAGTAAGGCAAAAAAACGTAAAAATACATCATAGTATAGTAGGGCATAAAAATGTCAAAAAACATCATAGTATAGTAAAGCATAAAAACGTCCCAAAATGTTATAGTATAGTAAGGCATAAAATCGTTACTTTACATTAAGGCATGAAAACATCAAAAAACGTCATAGTATAGTAAAGCAAAAAAACGTCAAAAAACGTCATAGTATAGTAAGGAATAAAATCTTTAATATACAATAAGGCATGAAAACGTCAAAAAACGTCATAGTATAGTAAGGTGAAAAAACCCAAAAAAACGTCATAGTATAGTAAAGCGAAAAAACACAAAAAAACGTCATAGTATAGTAAGGCAAAAAAAAGTCAAAAAACATCATAGTATAGTAAGGTGAAAAAACCCAAAAGAACGTCATAGTATAGTAAGGCAAAAAAAAGTCAAAAAACATCATAGTATAGTAAGGTGAAAAAACCCAAAAGAACGTCATAGTATAGTAAGGCAAAAAAAAGTCAAAAAACATCATAGTATAGTAAGGTATAAAAAAGTCTGAAAGTGTCATAGTATAGTTAGGCA